GAGAACTCGATCCATTGTGCCTGCATGCTTTAAACTACCCTTGACACGCTGATCCACAACATCAGACTGTAATTTTTTGGCGATAATTATTTTGAGGTTGGTGATATGCAATAGTGTTCTTTCTTGACGTGCGACTGAATCAACAAGTCGTACATTGTTCAAAGCAGCAAAATTGTTTTACCTGTAATGTAGATATTCTACACCTGGTTCGAACACCTTTTAATTGAGAAGCTGTTTCCCAGTCAACTCCATCACATTAATCACAATCAGTTTAAATCTCTGACACAAATTTAAATCTAATTAAAGTTTGTTTTTTTAACCTTTTAAATGCTACTCTCAGATGATGTAACTTCTCAGTATAATATCCATGTAGTATTCAGCAAAAAGGTAATGAGGATCCTAAAAATTATCGGAAGTTGTCACCTTGATTCAACACCAAATTCTTGTGACTAACTTACCAGGAAATGTGTAGTAACTAGTGAGGAGAATTGATAATTAGATTGTGGGAGTTAAAGGGTTAAAATAATCAAAACAAAGTATCTAGTTATGAAATTTGTCCCGTTTGAATGAAATAATTTCATTCAAATGGGACAAAAACATAGGCAACTTTTTAGTCAGGAGTTCATTTCAAACCAATAACCAATCTGGAACTTTTAAATGCGCTCGCTCACGATGCAAAACTTGTCCTTTCATTCATAACGTAGAGAAAATATCGGGACCCAAAAGATCCATTAAGATCATTGATCACTTTACGTGTACCTCCGCCAATGTTATTTACTGCATAACTTGCACTTATTGCAATAAGTTATACATCGGCGAGACAGGAAGACGACTGGGTGACCGATTCCGAGAACACCTTCGCGATGTGGAAAGAAATGACAAGGACGCATCCAAGCCAGTTGCTAGACACTTTAATCTTCCTTATCATTCTAAACAGCATATGGCAGTTTGCGGCCTTTCCTTACATCTAGGCAGTTCGGAAAGCCGTAAAACACTAGAACAAAAATTTATATTTCAAATCGGCACCCTTAATCCCCACGGAATTAACGAGCGCTTTTCATTCAACTAATTTATTCCTGTTTTCTCGTCACCATATTCCCACCAATGGCGTAGCTCCACTAACTACATATAAATCCACACACAACCCACAATTCCTCTAATCGCTCTGACGATGGGCTAACGCTCGAAACGTCAGCTTTTTTACCCTTTACGGTGGCTAATTTACGTTTTCAACCCAGTTGTTAACACTAAATTACCTGTATCGTCAGGAACCATGGAGGTTGTTCTGAAGATGCCGGATGGCTCGCCACAGCTTCCATAAATTGTGACTGGGAGGGAAAATATACGGCATCAAACACATTGTACAGTAAACTGACGACCTATAATTCCTTCTCACGCACTGGTAAGGGAAAATGAAGGGAGCTGGTAATTATCAATTTACCTCTTGAAAACATCCATTTCGAAATCCCTGCTGACCCTTGCAATCTTAGCGGCTCTCTCTGGTGCATTAAATTCACGAAGCGCACAATTTTTTGCTCTAAATCAGTCGTATCTTTTTTCCAACCGATGAGAACGATTTGTTTAAAAAGAACAACCACCCAGATTTCAAGCCCTGTTTAAGGTAACCAATCAAATCGCAGGAAAATGAAAGAAAACTTTCTGAAAGCACACGTATAATTTCAGGCCTTTGCTCTGACGATGGGCTAACACACGAAACGTCAGCTTCAGAAACTCTTTACGGTGGTCAATTTAAATCATCAACTCTGTTTATAAAAAAAATTATCTTGCACCTCACTCAATTAAATGACGGCACTTTCGAAGGGGATTCAAAAATTTAATTCCCAATTCAAGATTGAAAACGTTTTGAAGAAAGCAACATTTTGAGTATGTTTTGGGCTTGTGTTTCAGCTTATATTGGAGTTGTGCGGTAATTAAAAGGGCTTTCTAATCTGTTTCTTCTCAGAAAACATGGGCATCGCTGAGGTTACGGTGGTATATATTCGTTAAGCAATGATAATGTCTTAAATCTGCCGTTCAGCACGTTTACAAGTCACAGAGTTAAACTATAAAGAAACTTTGCCTCCGCCTTAGGCTGAAAGCTAGATTATAGTAGGATATATACTCCAGAATCCACAGGAAAAAATCCAGCGATCAGAACTTTTTTTTGTCGATCAACAGTTGGTAAAAACCTGGATTAAAAGTCGAGGTTTGAGCCAAGGGAAAATTTTCAAACTTGCTATTAATAGAGCTACTCAATCTATTGATTCATCCAATGCACAAGTAATACTTCCCTCAAGTCAAATGGAGAAAAGTGCTTTTATATTCTTCATTATTATTCAATTTACAAAATTCTTTAGGAGAAAAGTATTTATATGTTTCAGCTTTTAGGATCACAGAGAATTGAAGCTTAACTTGATTCTTTCTTTCAAGGAATCCCTATTTGGATTTTATTTAACATTAACCAGTAGGTACATGCACCTTAGAGCAAAACTCAGCCCCACCCTGTCATTTATGACATTTTTCATAACCCCCAAACCCTCTTATTTACAGATAAGACCCTTGGAATTTTTTTCAACTAAATACAAAATAGGTATATCAAAGAAACAGTTTGGGCTAACTAATAAAACAACCCTAAATGGCAAAATATCTGTTGTAACTGTTTTGCTGTACAAAAGTCACATAAACCACACTTTACACGGAAAATCGTTTTTTTTAATCAGTTTTTAGTTTTCCTTACGCTACAAGAAGTGCAGTGTTGAAAATATTACAACTTCTGTTATCACAAGACTTCAACACTCATGATGTCCTTATATAGAGAGGGTTTATCATACATCTGATTACAAATTAACCTAGGCAGATAGGTTAAACAAAGTTGAAACCACTGTAAACTTCGGTGGCCTAACTTTTACATTTCTTTAAATTATACTTATATAATACTAAATATTCTCTTCAAGGGGCTGGTATATCAGCTGATAACTAAAAGTCCGCGGCTGACAGATTTTCCATAAAACGAATCATGATTTGGCCAAGAAGCGAAGCTTCGTGAGGAAATGTGAAATTTTGAGTTCTACTGATTTCCTTATGGCGTCGACCATAGCCTTATCGATTTTTTGTTTTGTACCAGTCATAGAGTTACGTGCTATCAAAAAAACCTACGGTAATTCTTCTTTACTTTAAGCATCCAATAACAAGAAAATTCTCTAAATTAACGAATATGAAAGCGATCCTCGCAGCTATGAATACTACTATACTAGTAGTGAAGATCAGGCCTGAAAAAAAATCCAGGCCCGTACGGGATTTGAACCCATGATCTCTCCCATGACCTCTAACCCATGACCTCTAACCCATGACCTCTCGTGACCTCTGGGTTCTGAATTATTTTCAGTTCTTATTATTTCACTACTAGTTCAGTAGTATTCGTATCTGCGAGGATTGTTTTTATATTCGTTTCTCCAACCGCAGTTCACATATATATGATTTTCATGTATTTGCAGTCATTTATACTCTAAAGTCTTTGAAGCACAACTGAATATAACACATTTCTATTTTATCTAGCAAATTCTTACTAAATATATAACTTAACTTAAATATTCAACAGGCTTTGATGTTTCTACCTCAGTCGGCGATATCTAGGAGAAAAAAATATTGTAATGAGTTTTGAAAAAAAATCGTTTTGTCCCTATCTATAGTGATAGCTCATTGTATATATTATGTATGACCTGCATCACATATGAACCGAAGCCTGGCAGAGATCATAATGAAGCTCTCTGTATCTTGGTGGCAGTGGACTCAAGAAGTGCTCTTCTTTTGTGCTTTAGCTGCTTTCTTCATGTTTTACAACAGAACAGAGCATAGTTAAAGCTTCTCTATTTGTTAAATGTTACATGTTCATATTACGTTTTAATTTGGTTTATCTAAGTTCAATAAAGAGTAGCTCAAATTAACTGTTCGGTTAGATGAGGGGAGGGGGGGGTGGGAGGTGGGAGAGAAGAAAGGGCAACTCATGAAAGGGGGTTGCACATATCCAGACCCCCTATTCTTCTTAAGTTGGGTGTGTTCATTCGAGTCCCTTTCCTCTTTGTCCTTTACCTCTCTAGACATGCGTCAACCATATTCAAAACCATATTCAGATAAAAATTCATTGTTTCAAATAATTATAATAATCAACTAACCTTATCTGGTAAATTATTAACGAATATACACCACAAACAAATCTGCGACTCCAACATTTTCTGTGCGATTAAAAAATAATGTCTATCATTCTTCGTGGTATAAATAGTACAATTAGTTTTGTAATTTTGTGTTCGATAATATAAAAGGTGGCTATTCCTGTCCACTTTTTCCACGTCAAACTTCAATTTAGAATGTTGGTTTTTTGCGGAGGGAGAAAGACCGAAAGACCCCAGGAAAAAAACTCCAGAGTAAGTTGACATGAGGCTGGGAAATGGAACCCAGGCCAGAGCGGTGGGAGAACAAAGCCATACCCAGTCCCCTAACGTCCTAGAAGTAGAAACGACTTTTCCTCCAACGCTAAGTAGCGATAAAATTTAAATAAGGACACAAGCTAAATTCTCGAAAGTAAAAACCATAATTAAAAGTTTTAACCTTCCACGTGATCGATACATCTATTTGCAAAGGCAGAGAAACACTATTCTTTCCTCAATGAAATGCGAATACGCTCGCATCTAAAATGCGAAAGCGGTGTTTTGGAGCTCTTTTCGATTGAATGTCCTAAACACAAATGCAAAGTAATCACAGCAACCAATTGCATCGAAGGGGAAGTTTCAGCGGAAGCCAATCAGAACGTAGAGTGAAAAATAAACTGCTTGGAGCGCGGGAGAACGCGAGTCATCAAGTTAAGGTTGGTTTTTGATTTGAATCTGATTGGTTGAGATAGTGGCGCGAGTTTTCTGGACCAATCACACCGCGAGGTTTTTGATTAGCTTGCAGCAGTGATTTTGCAACACTGGACTAAAGAATGCAATAGCTTGTTCGCGAATCTTACCGTGATGATTCCAATTTGTGTAAGTCGTCCTGTTACTGTACAAAACAGTGGAGGGAGGAAAACGTTTTTCCCATGGACAATAACTAGAGATAATGGCCAGCCATCCTTCATCATTCGGGCATTTGTTGTGAATTTTGGAAATGTAGAAATTCCTATCATTGCAACAGCCCTCGATCGAGAAGTAGTTTTGGCGCTCGCTTTCCAAATCTGTCCAGGGGGAGTGAACGATCCGACTTTTAGAAAACCAGTTTTTGTCGTCAGAATTAGCAGAGTTGAATACGATAGAAAGGGTCTCGGGATCTGAGCCATTCCGTTTGTACAAAGCTATCTGCACCTACAAAAAACAAATTACATCCGTAAAGGACTAGTCATTTTTTATTAGGGAGGGGGGGAGACTGAGTCAGTCGTCGCCAATGGAGAGACATTAGACAGGGGAATCAACAAAATACTATAGGGTCTTACGGGGAATTACGTTGATTTTATCGTGACAATTAAATTCCTCTCTCTCTCTCTCTCTCTCTCTCTCTCTCTCTCTCTCTCTCTCTCTCTCTCTCTCTCTCTCTCTCCTTTCCCCCTCCCCCCCCCATACAGTTTATAATGAGCGTCCCTAAGAGGACCCTCTGAGAGGTTCTCGGTCAATAATGGCTGTGGAAAAAATGAGCATGCAAAGAGAAAAGAGGGCTGGCCCAGATATCTAAAATGGTTTCAGTTTTAAATATGATTGGCGACATAGATGATGCGATCTTTTTAAACCAATCAGAAAATGGAATATAAATGAGGTAAGGTTTATCAGTCCCAGACAATTTTTGACATGGACCATTGCTTTAGTACGCATTAAATGAATTCTGAATACTTGTCATAAGAAGTCTCAAATAACCTTTTCACTACCGAGATCTCATTAGTAATTCTCCTTACTGTCTGCCATACATTTCCTATGGTGTGAGCCTGGAGAATTTGGTGTTGGATCGACTAACAATTCCGGCCGTTAACTGATACTTTTTTTATTTTCTCATCACTTGGGTGCTTGGTATTGAATCCATATTTGAAGGAGAAGTTATGTCTGAGTCACTCATAAGTCAACTCTATATGACAATGAGAACTTGTCAATAAGACAGACCTACCTCTTTGGGTTTTGCAAGGTGCCAATTTGGCACAAAGCGGTTCTTGTAATGTTCTTTGAATGAAGAATCGATGTTCAGTGCCTCTGATCTATTTTCATTGATCGTCTCCGATGAAAACCACAGTTGTGAGATGCTTCTACCGTTAGCCGAGACGCCAGATACAACCTTGAAAACCATTGTCCAACCTGTATACAAAATAGATTGTTTTCCGCGAAAACTAGAGCTTAGTACACCCAAGTTTTTTTTCCGCCATGCGCCCGGCGCTTGAGTCTCATATGCACCACCTGGAAAGCGTGCAAGCAGGCCAACATTATCAGCGCTAAGCGCACGACCGTTACTGCGCCCGCGGGAAAATATGAGGCTATAAGCTATGCGAGCATGCGTGAAACCAGGAAAGGTAAGTTTTTCGTGTCTTGGATGAGAGCTCTAAGTCAAAACAAGCAAAACATCTAGGGCGTAGGAGAACAGAAGTGATCAAAGCGTGATTGGTTTAAATTTAAAATCTGATTGGTTGACAAAGTGGCGCAAGCTTTGAGAACCAATCACGCAGCAAAGTAAAGCAAAATAAAAGATATCCAAGATGACTTTCGACACTTCACCTAAAATTGCGCCAAAAGATGCCGATGGGAAAGAACACTTCTCTTCTTTAAGCGCATAGGTCTTCAAAGCAGTTTTTCTAAGGAATTTCGTGCATAATAAGGTAAAGTTTTTTTTAATATTACCTCCTCCCTGGCTGGACTGATCGCAGTACACGTCGAACACTTGGGAATTGTTAAAAAGAATTTTGTAGACACCATTGTTTGTGAAGCCAGCGTCTAGCAGCTCAGCGCAGCTCTTGGTCACTAAAATAAAAAGTTGACGAGAAAGAAGTTTACTGATATACATGCCCTTAAGGGACCCCCGAGGGAGTCTGGGGACGGGGTTTCGTTTAATACCTGTGAATTAATAATGTCTCTTTTTTATCATTCTCTTTCGTCCCGTTAGAGAACGAATAAATTTGTAGCTTATTTTTAACAGGACTCCTAATCTTAAGATCTGGATTCGAACCTATGTGGTAACAGATATGGCGCTTTATTCCAACGGTGCCCCGCTCCATCTGGGAGTATAAATGGTCACCAGCAACTAACAAGCAGCTATGTAAGGAAGGAGTAAATATCTTAGTTTTATTCCACTGTCCTCGAGCCATCTTCTCAGCAACATTTGCTTTATCTGAAAAATGCAAGCATACTTACAGTTCTCACATTGCTTCCCAAAGAGACCTGGAGGGCAGGCGCATTTGAAGTCGTACGCCATCTCGACTGGGTGACAGGTTCCTCCGTTCTCGCACGGATCGAGCGCGCAAGGGGCCTGGTAAGAACCAACAATCTGACTTAGTAAGGGTATCCTCACAAAGCTAGGCAAGCGGAAGGCGAAACGAGTTCGGGAAGGATATATCAACTCTGAAATGTCGTAACATTGTTATGATTTCTCATAGCCGATAGGAGTCACCAAAGTCGATTATCCTGTTCGGCGACAGATCGATTTACCGTCGAGATATCGATTCTTTGCAATTAGCATAGGGCAGTGACTTGCTTTTCTGAATACACCTATATTTAGTGAATATGAATATAGTGAATATGATGGTAATTATGGGTAACGGACGTGCTTCATATCGCTGCTTGATTTTCTTTATTTTTTTCACAGTTCTTTATATTATTTCAATTGAAAAACGACATATGGATTGCCTAAACATTTCCTCTTTGGATTATATTTGCAAGAATCATTGTTTGTATCCTAACAAGTGGATTTCTGCTGTATTACTACCTCGTTATTTAACAACTAATCGGCCTCGCTTTGTTTGTCTACGACCTAAAGGTTACAACACATCCAAAGTCAAATACTACGCTAACTCAACTACCACCTTCAACCAAGCTCGTCTTACTTTGGCTGGTGACGTTGCTTCTAACCCTGGTCCTGAAATGGGTTTCTTGTCGTCACAATTTGACTTTGGAGCAATTTCTCAACCGAAGGAAGATTTAATTATTCAAAACGAAGATTCTCAATGTTATTACATTCCAACCATTGTTTCTACGCATCGACGACCATCAAAGAAAATTTACTCAAGAAACATCAACAATATCATCTCTATCACACGCGTTGGCCATCTACCGAGAACCATTGCTTCTAACCCTGGTCCTGAAATGGGTTTCTTATTGTCACAATTTGACCTTGGAGCAATTTCTCAACCGAAGGAAGATTTAATTATTCAAAACGAAGATTCTCAATGTTATTACATTCCAACCATTGTTTCTACGCATCGACGACCATCAAAGAAAATTTACTCAAGAAACATCAACAATGTCATCTCTATCACACGCGTTGGCCATCTACCGAGAACCAAATCCACCAGTAATTTTGCTCTCCTCAATGTGCGTTCGATTGTTAAAAATCAACTCATTTATGCGATTTGGTCATCTCCCACCATTTAGACATCCTGGCCATAACAGAGACTTGGCTTAAAGGAACCGAGGATGACAACCATGTTATTACTGACATCAACAACATTCTTCCGCATTTTAAACTCCACCACATACCAAGAAGGAATCGTAAGGGCGGCGGAGTCGCTTTGTTGATACGAGATGGTTATACCGTACTGCAAAATTCCATCATGAACACAAGCTCATTTGAGTACTTAGATGTGAGCATATCCAACAAAAGTGAGACATTCCGTTTAATTGTTCTCTATCGCCCTCCTCTGTGCAAAAAGAACAACACTGGAAATAGCTTTTGCAAGAATTCTCATCTTTTCTTGAAGAACTTACATTATCAAGGCAGCCCATTATAATTGCCGGTGATTTTAACTACCATGTTGATGATCTATCAAATCCTGAAGCTGCCTCCTTTCTAAATCTCCTTGAGTCCACTGATCTAATTCAAAATGTATCTGGATCCACTCATCGCCTGGGCCACACATTGGACTTGATATTATCTCGAGAAGAGAATAATGTTATAACGGATGTTCGCATTCTATCAGCCGACAATATTTCAGATCATAATTTGGTTACTTGTAAGGTGAAATGTACAAAACCGAAACCTTCTACACTACATGTTAAACACAGAAACACCAAAAGGCTCGATTTAGCTAGTATGATCAAAGACATCGAAGAATCTAATCTCATTACTAATCCACAGTCTTGTGTAACTGAGCTGACTACACAATATAATACTAATCTCTCGTCTATCTTTGATCAACATGCTCCTGTGAACGAGAGATGGGTCACTCTGCGACCGCATTCTCCTTGGTATACTGATGAACTTCGTAAGGCTAAACAAGACAAACGTCGTCATGAAAGAAGATATATTTCATCTGGTCTTCAAATTCACCAAGAAATATTTATTGATTCCTGCAAACACTATAATGATCTTCTAACAGCGACAAAGACAAACTATTATCGGACTCTGATCAGCTCCTCTGACCAATCACAACTATTCAAGATGGTATCTCGCCTATTCTTATCGAAGAACATTGCTGCACTCCCTAATAATGATTCATTGGATACATTGACCGAAACGTTCAACGATTTTTTTTATCAAAAAATTGAGAAAATAAGATCGGATTTGGACTCCCATACTGCCCAAGCACCCGACATCAACGTCAATTATCCAGTCACCTCGTCGTTCCAAACTTTTCAACCTGTATCTGCTGATATTGTTCACAAACTTATTGTTCAATCTCCAACTAAGTCTTGTCAACTGGATCCCATTCCAACACGAATTCTAAAGTCAATTCCACACTTGACGCCAATTATAACCAAGATTATCAACGCCTCCATGGCTAACGGAGAATTTCCTGATCAGTTAAAACAATCCCTGGTATGTCCATCTTTAAAGAAGCCTTCATTGGACCCGAACTGTCTCTCAAATTACAGACCGATTGCAAATCTATCTTTTCTCTCAAAAACAATCGAAAGGGTGGTCGCAAATCAAATATACAGATTTATGGCCGAGAACCAGTTATTTCCAGCGATGCAGTCAGCATACCGCAAATACTACTCCACTGAAACTGCTTTAATAAAAGTCTCAAATGACATCCTAAGAGCTGTAGATCAAAAAGAAGAAGTAGTACTTGTTTTGCTAGACCTTTCCGCTGCGTTCGACACGATCGACCATAACATATTACTTGAAAGAATGGAGAAACGTTTCGGATTTAGAGGTATCGCACTAAAATGGTTCAAATCATACCTAGAACATCGTGTTCAGTCAGTGAAGATCAATCACTCTATCTCTAAGCCTCGACATATCTCCTACGGCGTACCCCAGGGATCAGTACTTGGTCCACTACTCTTTCTAATGTATACCTCGCCTACAGAAGACATTGTTGCTGAACATGGCCTAAACTGTATGATATATGCCGATGATTCGCAACTTTACATAAAGATAAACTCCTCTGACAGAATGCTAGGCATGGAAAGATTGAAATCATGTGTTAATGCAATCATGGAGTGGGCCAAGAAAAACAGATTGCAGTGCAACCCTTCAAAAACAGAAATCATTCATTTCCTCTCACGCTTCTCAAAAAATCCTCCTTTCTGTAATATCAATATTGGAGATGATATCATTAATTTATCTAATACTGTCCGAGACCTAGGCGTCATGCTTGATTCTGTGATGAACTTACGCTCGCATATAAATTCCATCTGTAAATCGTCGTCTCTAGCAATCAGAAATATTGGTCGCGTTCGTAAATACCTCTCGACGCAGCAAAATGAAAGATTGATACACGCCTTTATCTCATCGAGACTTGATTATTGTAATAGCCTATTGTACGGTCTACCGATTTGTGACATCGAAAAATTCCAACGGATCCAAAACACAGCTGCCCGCTTGTTAGTCGGTGCCAAATCAAGAGACAGTATAACACCTATACTTAGGAAACTTCATTGGCTCCCGGTCACAAAACGAATTCAATTCAAGATACTGTTGATAACATACAAAGCACTAAATGACATGGCTCCAACCTATCTTGTTGAACTTCTTAGTCGATATATTCCAGCACGAAACCTCCGTTCATCAAATATGAATCTACTTGAGGTCCCAACAATTCGAACTAAAACGTATGGGCAAAGAGCATTCTCCTACGCAGCACCGTATTTGTGGAACCAACTACCTGAATGCATAAAAACGCCGAATCTGTTGACTCCTTTAAACGCTTATTGAAAACTCATCTTTTCAAAAATTAAGCCACCAGATTATTTGATATCGTACGTTGTCAAACATATGCATAACACGTAATAATTCATTAGTTTAGATAGAGTAGCGAATTGCATGTATAGGATTTTTATCGAAATTTTGTTAATTTGTAATTGTAAAGCGCATAGAGTTCAATTTTAATGCGCTATATAAGAACTTATTATTATTATTATTATTATTATTATTTTTTTGACAAATAATTGCAAGAAAGGAAAAGGCCAATACAAGACATGGGGCAAATTATAAATTACACATTTTTTGCGGAAGGAAATGCGTTTCACGAGACACAAAACTTTGTGCAAATATCGCTCAAATGAAAACTAATGAAACTTGCTAAAATCCGTGCATTGAATAATTGCCAAAATTCAGCAGGTAAAACAAAATTTTCCCTTTTTCACCATTAAAAATTTCTATTTATTTTGATGCATTTAGATTTGCATTCAGCATTCCTCGATTTTTTCACGTTTTGTCATAATGTCAAATAGAAGAAAGGCAGCTTTCTCAAAATAACATAAATAATTAATTAGAAGTATTATATGTAAGGCGTTGGTAAAAAGTTATGATATGATATTGTGAGAAAAACTTAACTGAAAAATGTCACACCCATAAATATATTAAGTCGAAGTTTATTATCGATGTCTTGCGCAAACTTGTACGAACTGGGCTGGTTTATAAAGACAACTTCAGTGCACATAGGTAAATTACGCAAATTTTTTTGTTTTCCTAAATTTTAATTCAGGGCGCACTTCATTTTAAAACGTAGATTTATTCGAGTTTGAAGAAAAACTGAAAAGAATTAAATAGAGCTCCTTTCTGACAAAACTACCTACTGTCTTTATATTTACAAAATAACTTTTTTTTATCAGAATACTCACCGTCACACCGAAGTGATGAGAATCCGAACTTGCAACAAATAGCTTCAACGACTTAAATTTGTCAGTGTCCAAGAGTTCACAGAGCAACTTTCCATGTAATTGAGAACCTTCTTTGAAATTCAACGATCGACATCGAGGGTTCTCTGTACAAGCTTGAAGGCAGTCTTGTTCTCCATAAACGAAGAGAGATTCAAATGGTGTAGCGTTCAGTAGATAATTAGGAAACGAGAAAAGATTAGCGAAGCTTAAAATTCCTTTAGAAACATCGACAGAGCTTTTGTAATCGGTAAATATTGCTTCTTTAAACTGAAATAAGAAAATAGAAACAAAAATTGTGCAATACAGCTTTAAGGTCATGTTCTTGCGGTTGCAGTTGAGTTGTTTGGCTCAGATGAAATTGGATTGTTCAGTGTAATTTCAGTCAAGAACATTAATTAAGTAACATAAAAATGTTAACTAATACATGTTGTAATTAAGCATTAAGATACCTCTCCGTGTTTATCAGATCTTACAAAGCCTAAATCTAAAATTAGACAAGGTCGAGAGACTTCGAGACAGTAATGAAAACGCTACACGCTGTTAGAGGTTTGCAAAATTTCTCGAGAATTCTCCAAGACCTTCGAGAGTTTATACGAGGCTTTTTAAAGGCAGGAAAATGCCTCTGTCACTTTCATAAAATATTTCTCAGTCAGACACATGATTTAAAACACCACATTCTGTAAACACACTCTCATCCAAACAAACTCATCGACCAATGATTCTTACGCAATTCGCGTGGGTCGCACAGCATCCGGAAGTTTTTCATCCCGGCGTTGTAGTTTTAATGATTCAGACTACTTGCGCTCATGTTTTCCTAATGAAGTCACGTCTAAAAAATTATCTCGACCACAAGCTCACTTAACCTAGAAGATTTATCGTTGAATCATAACTGCTAGTTTTACACTGATCAAATTTCATTAGTTTGAGCTGAGCTAAGACCTTGCGCGTGATGAAAAGTATGTCAGCTAATTCACATCACTAATAAGGGAATAACATGACTACACTACAAGGGCGCAAATAAACAATATTCCCGAAAAAAGTCATGTCATTATCATTATAATCAATAAACAAGGCCAAATGATATCAAGAATGCGAGTTTTAATAATACAAGCTAAGTGAATGACGAATTCAAAGTCACTTCAAATCATTATGTAAGCTGTAGGGCTGATAATGCATTAGCAGCCCGCTGTCAGTCTTTTGCGGCCCGCTGAGCGTGTGTTTTGAAGAGGCTGATTTTCTATTTGGCCGCTCATATTGATAATAATTACCGGTATTTATCATCTGAATGAATTCAAACTTGCTCATAGTCTCCGAAAATCAATGGACCAAAACATTTGACGTATTAAGCTGTTTTTCTAGTTTTAAGTGTTAGGTCTATTTGTAACTAATGTCACGAGGTGGAATTACTGTTGTTAAATTCATGAAAGGCGATTTTACAGTTTTACAATTAAGTAAATTTGCTGTTTTTTACCTGCTGTTTCACCTACTGGGAGTTTGTCTTAATTGCTATACAGGTGGGCATTTTAAGATAGCACCAGTTTTAATTGAGACATCCTCTGAATACCAAAATATCAAACTAGCGCCATTATTTTTTTCGGCACGCATCTTTCAAAAGTCCACGTGAACAGGAGATCGTTTGTAGTTGTTATGTTGAGCTCTTACAACCTCTTCCTTATCGGAATCAAAGTGAACTGACACATGATTTTTTAGACTATATTTAATGTTATCTGGTTTAGGGAATTTTGTGGTTGATTGTCATATCTAGAGTACGAGCAGTAGTTCAGTGTTCGCTAATGTAGCAAAGAAACAAAGTAACGTTGGGATAAGAAGGCATTACAATTGAAATGATCATGCTATTACATTTAACAAGGGTGGATGATGTCATGTGTTTTAAACGTCTATCATTTTTGTTTCTGGTTCAAAAGAAAAGGTTGGAAGTAAATGTGGTTGAAAAGTGAAATTTACTGTCTATCATTATAAATATTTGAAAATCAAGGCAATACTGCCTTAATGAAAACATTAACGATTCCCTCTCTATCAAATGAGACAAACGGGAACGAGTTTTGAGTGATATAACTAGGCCAAGCCTGCCACCGTCATTTTAGATCTCCGCCTGGGTAGATTTAAGTCGCGTGCTAGGCAACGTATAATCAATAACAAGATAGAATTTCATTTCAGGCCTATTTATCAATTTTGTGGTGTATAACTTTCGCATTTTAGTACGTTGTATGTATGTTGAATCTTCAAATTGTCTTGAAACTTAAAAGAAAATTTTTCTTTAAAAATTCACTGAAAATCGGTGGATGATACAAAAAAAAAAAAAAGAAAAAAATTGTTTGTTTAGGTGTTATTTGATTTTCGTGTTAACTTGTAATTTCGTCAGTCACCTGCATCTTTTGTTGCTTCACACAGGAAAAACACACGCGACGAAACATAATGATCAATTTTGTCCTCAATCTCACGCCATAACAGAAAAAGCTTTTGAATATCTGTAAACTCCATACTCTTCGCAGTTAGTCATATTTTCAATAAATCTTCGGATTGTTTTCAAGTTCAAGGATTGTAAATTACAATTTTATGAAAAACGAAGGTTGTTCTGTTATTTCAGCGTGAACCTTGCATGCTTGCCAGTCGCTGGCGCCGCTTGTTGAAACAAAAACGAAAAAAAAAAAACTCTTAAGATTATCATTGGCTTCTCTTTCACCCCACCACTATTCTTAGTAACAGAGGTCGCTATTTCGTTTGTTTATTGCTTGCCAAAAACTATCAAATGCGCTCAAAAGCCTAAAATCGAAAAAAAGTTTACAGGAATCGACCAATCGAGCAAGCGAGCGAGCGAGTGCCATTCCCCACATCGTATCTACAACTCGCTCTTGCGCATGCAAGCAATCCACGAGTTAAAAATGATGGTCAGTCACACGTTGGTCAAATATATGAATTGAAAATTATCACTTCTCTTCTGAAACAACACTTGGCAATATGTAAATTTGCCAAATTACCAGATATCAAGGGTGTAAGTTCCTTTTGTAGCCTATCACTTAGATTATGAGCTTGAGAATTCTATCTCGTGATATTTGATAAAACTTGATCGGGGGCGAAGGCCGAATCCACCATCATACAAAGGTATCGAGATCGAATTATCCAACTGTCTTAGTATAAATATATCAGCCGTCAAAAAAAATAACAACGAAACATGCTCGACCACACAAAGTTATTCCTTTCATCTACTATTATGGATAAGAGAGCCAATCCGATTACAGCGTTTGTGATAGAACGCTGATATTCATTAGCTTACAGTTTTCCCTCTCCACCCCACCCTCCCCTAATTTATCTCATTTTCCCGCGAGTTCTTCTGTTGTCAGCGGTCTACTTGATTTCGATCATGTGATCAACGCCCGCCAAAACAGAATCGAGCTCCAAAGGGAAAACTTGTGACTGAAAACATAGAAGTTTATTCATTTATGCTGTCTTTTACGACCTTTTATGAACGATAGGTCGGTTACCTGAGTAAAGAGGTTAGTAAAGATGTTTTCTGGATTAGATATCAGGCAAAAAAAGAGCAGAATCCAGCAAATGACTTAGTTGAGAGGTCTTTGGCAAATGTATGTATATGTCATGTCGTCCTCTGGACAATGCAGCCCTGAATTTATCTTAAAACCGTGCTCCTGCACATGTTTTCGACCTTCTTTAAGCTCCTTGAAGTCTATCGTCGTCTTATACAATGTGGATATCACTCTAATGTCTTCCAGATAGCTTTTAAATGCGTTTGAATCGGCTAAAAATCGCCGAGTACAAATCAAGTTCAAAATTTCTTAACTTAGATACTGTGAGAACTCGATCCATTGTGCCTGCATGCTTTGAGAACCTGTTGTCCAATCAACTCCATCACATTAATCACAATCAAATTAAATCTCTGACACACATTTAAATCTAATTTAAGTTTTTTTAACCTTTAATTGCTACTCTCAGTGTGATTAACAAGTAACTTCTCCATATAATGTCTTTATAGTATTCAGCAAAAGGGTAAAGAGAATCCTAAAAATTATCGGAAGTTGTCACCTTGATTTACCGGTAACACCAAGTTTTTGTGACTAACTTATAAGGAAGTGTATAGAAGCCAGAAGGGAGAATTGATGATTAGATTGTGGGAGTTTAAGGGTTAAAATTCTTAACACGAAGTATGTAAATATGAATTAAGAAGTTAATTTAGTAGCATAAATGATTGTCAAAAGCAAATGATGCACAGCAGGATTCAGAATTGTAAATTATTTGTTTAGAATTATTAAGATGGATTTGAAAAATGTAAAGTGCTCTTACAAATTAATCAAAACTGTAAAACAATTAGATAAACAAAACATCCATCACTAAAACATAGATGAACTAATAGATAAAAACATAATAGTTTGTTTGTCCATTCTTTTTATGGTGTATAAGAGCATTTGGGCAAGTGTTATTTAAACTTTGTCACAAGAAACCTTCTGTATTTTGCAGTTTGCCTGAATGATGTCTACAATACAGCCAGATGAAGAGGATGCCAGTGGCAGCAGTGCTGCACCAAGTCCAGCTGTGAGCAGCACACCATCTCCTTCAAAGACCAAGGTACATTCTGGCGAATAAAAAAGGAAAAAAGATAGAAAGATTGTCCTGCATATAACTACAAAATGTTAAAGTTACCATGATTGTCGGCTATGGAAATTTAGTTTTACAGATTATCTCATAGCATGATATTTGTGCCACGAGGCTGTAAATTTTTAGATAAACATTTTAAACCTTTACACCCTAACATCAGTATGCAAGTTCTCCATACTGTTTTCTATACATTTCCTATTGTACCTGTAAGGAGAATTTAGATCAATATCAGTATCTGGGCAACTAGCCACCTACCCATCCCCCTAACCCAACATTAACCTTAACTTGTCATCAATTGACTGAGAATTTTGCTAACAGTCCAAAGCTTCTCGAGTTGGTGATGACTTCCTTCATTCTCATGACATTAATGTTTCATGAAAGGGTGATACTGTTGAGAGAAATTAGATGCCTATCACTCTTAAGGATCAAATGTTTAATAACCAAGATAGAAATCATATGGTTTGCCGGGCAGGCTTTTCTTTCAGTGTACTAATCTTTAGCTAATTTAGAAAACTGAATCAATATTTTGCTACTTCAGGTGGGAGAGTCACCACGACGCAGCGGCAGGAGGGTCAGGCAGAGGATTCTCTATGGTCATCAGCCGCTGGCCAGTAAAGCACAAGTCACACCACAGCAGTCCAAAACCAAAAAGACAAAAATGACACCAGAGAGTAGTGGGTCAGATGATGAAGAAGAAGGAAATGAAGAAGCTGGGTACTCAATGATGCAATTTCAAAATCATTTTAGTTATAGAACTAACTTGGCTAGAAAAGAGAAGATTTATATGCTATGTGCTGGGTGGGAGGTTTATATAATTATGGGGAAAGGTACCCAAGATCTTAAGCAATTGAGAGCTGTACTCAAGCCCAAGTGCACAGTTTTTTCTCACTACAGACCAACCTAGACTAGTGAATAAGTTATTTACCTTTTATCCTGCTGGTTTCCTCTTCCCACTCAGCTGAGATAAGGGGAGAAAAAAATTGTAGACTGTGGTCCACAGTACATAAAGCTAGACCAATTACAAACATGCAATTCCCTATCAGAATTAAGGAGTTAAAATTTCAGCCCACTGAGATGATTCAGAAAACAAAATGATATTAATTTTTTTTATTCAAATGTTTTGTCTTTTCAGGGAACAGTCGTCAGTAAATAAATCAAGTGATGACAGTGACTTGGAAACTCCTGTTCAGGTGCCTACCTCAGTACGAGGAAGGAAACGAGCAGCAGAAACCTCCAAAGCTACACCGGTATAGTTGATTGATATATTTTTTCAGTTAGTCGGATCATTTGTGGTTTTGTTTGTTTGAGTCATTCTTGTGAATAACCAAAGGTGTATCTATAAATAATTTTATTCTTGCAGGCAGCAAAAAGGGTAAAATCTAAACAACCCTCTGCTCAAAAGTCATCTCAGAAGAAATCAAGAAAATCAAAAGGAAGTGCAGATGCAGATGAGAGTCAGGGAACCTTGTTTGATATCGTGAAAGCTGGAAAAGGTGCTCTGAGGGTAAGAATTATGTTTAATGTTACATCTAAACTTTTTTTTAATACAGTAAAGTTCTTTTTTAATGTTACATCTTAACTTAAAGGCTGATCTGTACATTATTGTTGTTGTGTCATTTTCATTCTGTAAAACTAGTCAAAAACTTGAGAATGTTGTGACATTAACTCAGAGATAAGAGCTGAAAGGAAACATTCAAAATCTTTTTCTGGACTGGATTTCCAGAACCACAAACCCCCTCCCCAGCATTTTTCAAATTAACCCTTTACAGTTTTTCATTTACACCAGATACATGTTAATCCTTTTTTAAATTTTATTCCACGTAAAATTCACAGGCTGTTGTGGATGACTGGATTGAGAGTTACACTACAGACAAAGAAAATGGAATGGTTGATCTTATACAGTTTTTTGTCCAATGTTGTGGCTGCAAAGGTTTGTCCTGATTTAATGAGGTTTGATGAAGTAAATTTGATACTTTGTGTATGAGAAACTTTCAGAAATTGTATACTGAGTAGTTTAAGAGGGAAGCTTCTGAAGGAAGTCCTATTTTTAAAAAAACCTTCTTGTAGCTTGTTTAAGGTGTAGATGGCCAAGTCCTTTGTTTCATACTTGAATGGAACAAAACCAAGTTCTGGGGAAAGAAATTTTCACATGTACAATGAACATGTGTAAAACATGTCGTGAATGGCCAAAGCTCTGTACTCAGAAGAATCCCTGGCTGAAGTGCTCAGTACTTGATAGCTTTCATAAAAGCAAAGCTCTACAACATATAGTTGCATAATGAAAGAAAGTTAGCCACCTAGCCCTAAGAGTGACCAGCACCTAGTTTCTCCTTATTATAATAATGCGAAATCATTCATTTGAGATCATAAGAATAAAGGAAATGATCACCAACTAAAGAAGCTCTTGATTGTGAAACAAATTCTCCTTGTCAGCACCTTAGGAAATGTATAGAGAACAGTATGGAGAATGTGCAAAATGAATGTTAGGATGTAAAGGGTTAAAGGAACTACTTAGTGAGAATGATTGTTCTGTTGTGCCTGTGGGGGTAGCTAGTCAAAAAACCTGATTTGTATTATCTTGTGCTTTTATTAACTCAGCTTGATAATGAACCAGGGTTCAGTTGTTCTAAGGATAGAGTACTCTAACTAACGTATAAAAATTTGCTGTCCAGAAACATACTGCACTATCCACTGGAAAGAGATTTATCCAGTGGATAATGTTATCCACCCCTCAAACAACTGTGACCAGCATGATAATACTATATCTACATGTATATAACCTCAAATGCTTCATAGCTGATGAGCATCTAAATCTGGGTGACTGAAATTGCAAAGTAGTACATATCATTTCAGGAACTGTAACACCTAAAATGTTGGAAGAGGAAGAAAGTGTCAACGCAATCCGTCAACTTACTGAGCAGTTTGACGAGGTTAGTTCAACTGCATAGGACTGAGTCCTTTGAATTCTGTCAACTCCATCACACATTGGACCTATAATTGCTATCTTTTTCCTTTTTATTAGGCCAGCCATGAATACCCACTCATAATGACGGGCCCAGCTTACAAGAAATTTAGGGTGAGTATTGTACCATTCAGTTTAATTTGTTTTTTGTTATCTGATGCAAAATGCACAAATCAATGTCAGTATCTGAACAACTGCACACCTACCCCTCTACTAACCCCCCCCCTCCCCAACAACAGTCAACCAATAACAAGTTAGCGTTAATGTTGGATTAGGGGAAGGGTAGGTACACAGTTGCTGAGATACTGTCATTGAGAGTGTACAGTAACTCCTTTAACCCTATACACCCTGACATCAGCATGCATATTCTCCATACTGTTCTCTATACATGTCCTAATGTGCTGGCAAGGAGAATTTGTTTAACAATCTAGAGGTTCTTCAGTTGATTATCATTTCCTTTATTCTCATGACCTTAATATTTGATTCAGGGGTGATATTGAAAGGAGAAAATAAATGCTAGTCACTCTCAGAGATTAAATGGTTAAAGATCTTGACCTAAACTTTTGTTTTGTTTTCTTTTTTGTAGACAAACTTTGTAGAGTTTGTGGATTCGCTGGTTCAGCAATGCCAACACAGTATTATCTATGACGAGTACATGTTGGATACACTGGTGTCCTGGCTGATCAGGCTGTCAGATTCACAAGTTCGTGCCTTTAGACACACAAGTACTTTAGCTGGTAAGAATTCATTCTCAAGTCTCACAGACCTAATGACCCATTTTCACTAGAACTTATTCAGGTTTCTGTTAATTGAAGTGTCTAGAAGTTATCTATATTCCTCTTAAACAGGATGGCAATACATCTTTGCTACCCTCTCCCTACCCTTTAACAATTTTTTAAAGTTTCCCAGCCAGTCTGCAAATGCTTTAAATACTTGTTAGCAAAGAGAGGCAGTGTGATCACTAAGTGTCTCACACAAGGACTTGGCCAAGGTTTGAATCTAAATCTCTAGTTCTGGAGTCCTTCATCTACATGTATAATGCTTTCCTCAGTGCTCTGTGGATGTTTTCTAGCCCAATGACTATTACATCCAGTTCATGAAGTCAGGTTCATCTTGATCCATATTTTGACTGTGCCTCACCTGTCACTGACTTATTTTACTCTCAGGAATGAAACTTGTTTCTGCTTTGATACAAGTGGCAAAGCGTGTTCATGTAGAGCTGGATCACACCCAGGTATAATATGTAGTATTTTTGTTTAAATCAACACAGTGTGAAAGTTTCAACTTTCAACCTCTTACAGCTTCAGCGTTAACCATCTACAAACCATTGGTGTCTTCATGAAATCCTCAGTTACAGCTGTAGGAATTTTGCATTTTGGGAGGTGTCTGTTTTACTTATATAGATATCTCAAAATCATTTTTGTAGCGCCAGTTAGACAGCGAAAGCAGCAAAGTTTCATCCAAGAAAGCCATGGAAAAAATTGAAATGTTGAACAATAGGAGGCAAGAGGTAAGCAGAAATCTCTTCCCGTACAGAACAAGTGCTACCCTTTCACATCTATGCCATGTTTTGAAGGGTCCATCAAATGTAGGCTCACTATAATACTGGTTCTTATTTTCTTTCCTTATAGCTGAGACAGAATGTTAGTGACTTGGAAGACATGATGAATTTTGTGCACCAGGGAATGTTTGTCCATAGATACAGGTACATGTAACTACTTCATATGCTGTAGGTATCTGGAACTTGAGATAAAAGTGCAAGGGGCCTCTTGAGTTGATGACTGAAGAAGAATGTGGATTTCTGCAGGGTAACCAGTTTGCTGTTTTTTTTATTCCTGCATCATTTCAAGAGTGACCTCCTTAATTTAAATTTGATGGTTTTACTTGTTATATTTTTAACCAGCCAAATGCAACATTTTGCTGTCATTTACTTTTTGTGGCCAGCCGTGAGACTTATTTTTACTCTGTTAAATCAGACTTGCGTTTAATTTCTTGTGCAATTTCAGGGATTCCAGACATGAAATCAGGGCGCTGTGCATTGCAGAAATGGGTCATTGGATGAAAGAATACAGGTGTGTGTTTACAAGTTTCACGCAAGGAATTTTTCTACACAACATAGTAATTATTGACCATTGTTACTGTAACTAATTTCTGTTTCTTTGTAGCTCCTACTTTCTGAGTGACAAGTTTCTGAAATATACTGTTTGGAGCTTACATGATAAGGCAAGTTTTGTCAACAGGTTTTAACCCTTTACTTCCTAACATCAGCATTCATATTCTCCATAACCTTTTCTATACATTTTGCTTTGGTGCTGATAAGGAGAATTTGTTTAACAATCAAAGTTTCTTAGTTTGGTGATCATTTCCTTAATTCTCATGATCTTAATGAATGATTCAGCAGTATTGCTGTCAAGAGAAATTACGTGCTGATCACTATTAGGGTTTTTAGGGGTTGAATTAGTCATTTCAGTCTTGGCATGCTATCTGATCTTAAATTTTAACTCTTGTGTTGAAAAGATTCCTTTTAAATATTATTTTGGGCATGTACATGAAGTGTGGTTCCACTAGTGCATCAAAACTATACCAAAGGAAAGAAAAAGATGTAGGAGAAACAGTGCCTCTTCTTAGACAATTGAGTTGATCAATTTTATCCATCATCATCTGCTAGATTGGAGAGGTGCGGCAGAAGGCCATCAATTCATTAAGAGGCCTTTACGAGGTTGACGACTTCCTCTCTCAGCTTGAGCCCTTGACTGAGAGATTTAAGGTACTGTCATCAATAACAGTTTCAGTATTACCATGATTATTCTAATCTTATCAAAGAAAATGGATATGATGCTACTGAATCATTCAGTAAAGATCAAAGTCATTGCTTAAGTGTTTTTTGTTTAAATTTCAGGAAAGACTTGTTGCTATGACTTTGGACAAAGAAAATGAAGTGGCAGTGGAGGCTGTCAAGCTCGTTAACCTTCTTCTTATGTAAGTTCTAGAAGTGTAAATTATTTCCTTGTTCTAATTGTCACTGAGGAAGTTGAAGAGAGAGTAGTGTGATGGTTTCTGCATCATTATGATTCTGGAACAGAAAAACATGATCTGAGTCAACTACAGATTATGGTTTAGTTTTGTATATAAACCAATCCTTGAACCCTTAAAAAGTTTGAAGACCTGTTTTATAACTGCCAAATCCAGAAAAAGTTTAAATCAATTAACCAATGCTTACCTCACATGGGGTGTCTCAGGGCTCCCAATGTGGCCAACTACCCCCAAGATAATTTAGTATGATCAGCTGAGGCGATTATGTAAACTGGCCTTTATAAAAAGTTTGAAAGCTGGTCTTTCAAGTGTTAGCCCTTCATCAGAGTGAAATGTTAGCTTTGTAAAGTTCTCTTAATGATGGCCAATTTACATTATCAACTCAATTGATAATGCTAAAATACCCTGTTTTACTCTTTCATTGATGCAGCACCATAGTTTCTTTAGAAACTTACCCCCTTTATCCTCAAGATAGAGTACCACACCCATGGCTATTAAGAAGTCTGGGTTCTGTCCCAAGTTGTAGGAAGTGCTTGTCAGGTGTCTGCATATTCGTGGGCTAACTTGGCCAAAATAATCTTATTTGCAAAATCAAAGAATTTTCAAGTTTTAAAGCAAACACTGAAAAAAGAAACTGTTCTGCTCAGGCCTTGTGATTTGAGACAGTCATATCCTTAGGTTTGGAAAGTGACAACAATTGTTTGCAAGAAGTTTGAAAAAGGAACAGTGTTTATCAGGTACTGATATTGTAGAATATTTGTGTGCTGCTTTGATGACCAGTATTTGTTGTCTTGTTGTAGGAATGACAAACTGGATGAAGAAGAATGCCAACAGATTGAGTTAATTGTGTTCTGTACAAGTCGGAATGTGGCAAAAGCAGCTGGAGAATTCCTCAAGGATAGGCTTGTCATGGCTGCTGATGAAGAAGTGAAAAAAGCCAGCAAATCGAAAAGAGGTAAGCCTTGATCAGGTTTCTTGTAAAATGGGGAAGATGTCAGTGGCTGTTGTTTGGTTAGCATGCAAGACCCTACAACCAAAAGGTCTGCAATTGAGTCTGGACTGGGGTTGTTGTTCAGCGTTCTTTTGTATACATCTTTCTCTCTCCTTACCTCTCTTTCCCCTTGGCTGGGTTGTTCAAAGCTGGGTTAAGATAACCCAGGGATTAGTGTGAAATCTGATTTCGGTTCTGAAAGCTTTCAAAGAAAAATTCAGCATAATTCTTTTTGTCAACAATTTGATGATTGGATGCTCCAAAAAAATAAAGAAAATGATCTCAAAAGGGCTTTCGAACAAAGAAGTAAAGAAACCCAGATTAAAATTAAACCCTGAGTTAGTGCTAATTTGCCTTCAATCAACTGTGCCTAGGAGTAGAAAAGGGGAACCTGCAAGCTGCCAAGGACACTTGACTGGCCCTCTTGATACTTACTCTGTAAATATTTACAAGCATAATTATATCAAAAGTGATATATTATTTTTGCATTTTTTTATAGGCAAAAAAGCAGAACAGGAAATCAAACTTGTACAGTTAAAAAAACTGATTGAGTTTTTTATTGTCAGTGAGGTAATTTCAATTTGACATAATTACAGTGTACTACAATGTTAATTTTAAATTTAGATCATTTCTCAAGTTAAATACCTACATTGGTAGATAAGGTAGCTTAACCCCATAAAGTCTAAGAGTGATCATAAATTAATTTCTCCTCACAGTACTGCTGCTGAATCATTTATTAAGATTATGAGAATACTGACAAATGATCATCAACCTGAGAAGCTTTGATTATTAAACAAATTCTCCTCATCAGTGTCACAGGAAATGTCCAGAGAAAAGTCAGGAGAATGTAGATACTGACGTCTGGGTTTAAAGGGTGAACGTGATTTGAAGCCATCTCATTGACAACCCCATTTTATTTCTTCAAACTATCTGACACATTTTTCATTTTTCTAGGTCCACAACCATGCAGCATACCTTGTAGACAGTTTGTGGGAAAGTATGGACTTACTAAGGGTAAAATAATTTAAATCTTTTGTTATTATGGAAGTCACTTGTCTTAAGTCTGCAAAAAAATGTCTGACCTGTTCTAGGCAAAACTATGATTAACTTTCAACACTTAATTGTCTGATTGCTTTTGAGTCCTGCAATTTATAAGAGAAGTGTGAAATAGTTTCTCAGCATTCCTGTCAGGAAACAGCACATCTTCTGCGAACATGCAATGTATAATTTTGCTCCCTGGAAATCTTTTAAGGATTGGATTTCTTAGAATTCTGAGACCTTTGGGTCTGCAGTCTCTCCACCAAGAGCACAGCTTTGCTACAAAAGATAGCCTCTTTGCATTGGAAAATCTGAAAAATAGTCATGCAATGTACAGATTTGTAAAATACAGAGTGTTACTTAACAAAGTGTTTGCTGTCTTGTGTATGTCAGGACTGGAAGTTGATGACTGACATTCTTTTGGATAAAAACGACAAACAAGGTGAGTTGCCATGGCAATAAATCAGGGTTTGTAATTTGCAGTATTGAATAGAAGAGCCAGAAATTTGTTATCTTATTGGACTTTTCCAGCTCCTTCACCAGTCAACTCAATATGGCGCCAAGAAGATGAGATTTTTAGATCACTTGTGAAATTTGGTACACAACACCAATCATCTTTGAACACCTTTCTCACTTAAAATTCAAAGGATACCTCCTTTTACAGCACATGGTGGCTTTGCTATTCAGGGCCTTGTTTAGTGTAGTTTAATATGGGAAAAGAGTTCTAGTACTCCTGGAGAGATCTGTTATGAGTGTCCATTCTGTAGGAACTGGTTGGTTGATGGAGTTTTAACTACACCTGCGTGAAGTCTAGTTTCCTTAAAAATAAACTCTTTTGTGGCAGGAAATCAGTGGATAAGAAAATCTTATTATGAAAAGTTGTCATCTTTCAAACATTGAACAAAATCTTTAACAGATAGTGAAGAATAAATGTAGAAATACTATTGTTTACATGATTTCCTTAACCTCAGGTTTGAATGACAGTGAAGAAATGGCATTGATTGACATCATGGTCTGCGCCTGCAAACAAGCATCTACCCGACAGGGTCCCCCCGGAAGAGCAGTTCGCAAAGTGAAGGAAAACAAAACTACTGTGAATGAAAAGAAAGACCTGAGTGCACACTTTATGCAGACTTTACCAGGCTTGTTGAACAAGGTATAATATAAATACCCCTTAAATGTGATACTACTTTACAACTGAGCACAAAATTGAGCTAATCCTTTACCTCTCAGAAGTGATTAACATGTAACTTCTCCCAAGAGTATCCATACATTATCCAGTGAACAGGTAGCGAGATTACTCAAACTTATCAGGTACAAGAAATTATCTTGATTGAACACCAAATTCTCGTAACCAATTCACAAGGTAGTGTGTAGCAGCTAGAGGAGAGAATTAACAATCAGATTTTGGGAGTTCAAGAATTAACAGGTAACATGCACTCAGCTACTTTCAACGAAGTTTTAGAAATGAATTTTGAATAAACTTCCGTTTGCTGCAATTAGTTCCTGACTCTTGAAAGCTGGTTTAATAACTTAGAATACACTCCCCTCAACAGGAGTCAACCACCACCGGCGCCATACAAACGAGTTATTCACGACATTGGCATTACAAACGAACCTAACAGAACGACCTAACTTTACTAACGGATCGAGACCGACTAATCGCGGCCGATCTGCGCCACTTGAGTCTTACAGCCAATAACATCAACGGCAAAACTGACAAATCAGTTTATACGGACCGAACTAAGAACATTCGACTGACAACAAGTATACACTTGACTCCAATGATGACTTCCGCTCAGGTTGTCGAAACATTGGACACCACTACCGACAACAATCCTTCTCAGGACTACACTCACCCGGACGATCAAACTACACTAACACAATGCCTTTTTTTTTTGCCGCTTAATTGAAATACAGACTTTACTTTCACTTTAATCTTTGATCAGTAGCTATGTTGTAATACTTCTTGTTTTGTTTCAGTTCGGAACTGACATTGAAAACGTCATAAACCTGGTGTCACTTCCTCAGTACTTTGACCTGGAGGAGTATGGACAGCGGAGACTGGGAAAGGTTTGTAGATATTCAAACCTGTATACTGGGTCATTTGTTGGTGAATAATATTATGACCTTTTTTTTTTTTTGCAATTTCCAGTATTTGGATGAACTTCTGAAACAACTTTCTGAAATTGTGGAGAAACACTCTAATGTGGATGTAAGTACTGTGGGAAATTGTGAAGAAACTTTGTTTTTAAAGCACAATGTAACTGTAGTTTATATGCTGTATTTAAGCCCATCAAGAACTTGACGTATATCTTTGTACTTGAGCTTCCTTCCAGGGCTTTCAATAACTTTTTTCATTAGCGGCTGTCGATGGTGTAATTGGTGGCTGAGTCATGAGGCAAAATCCAAACACGAGAGCCTGGTTTTACAGGCGGCGGTAGACTGACAGTAACCGGTTGTTAATGGAACCAATGCCTTCCTCATCAAAAAATGCATGATTATTGTTTTCGTTTTGCAGGTTTTGGATGAATGTGGGAAGAGCTTAAGAACACTCACGGACAATGACTTCACTTTGGCCTCTTCAGCTGTAAGTGGATAGGTGTCCCGTGCACAAGCAGTTGTGTGATCTTCTTGCATTTTGCATTGTATCGTTAAAATTTTAATTATTTTTAGCTCGTAATGCATAAATAAACTTTATCTTGATTTTCTTGCCCTCTAGGATGTGGCCAAAAACAAGCTGATTGATTCAGTTGTGGCCAAATTTAAAGAGAATGTGAAGAGTGGTCTTGATGCAGTAAGTGTTCTTCGGTTCTTTTAAATTTTTCTCGAAAATGTTTGCATAGTTATATCTTGATTAAAATCTGCCACAAAATCCTCACTTTCCTAACATTTAATGACTGTTATTCAATTTCTAAACTTTTTCAATGAAGAGGTGATGAATGTAGACAAATTTGTCAATCAGTTGAGAGACGTTTCAGTCATTCAATGTACACTACGTTCTTTAAACTGCAAATTTGGGAAACATTACATGTACAAGTTTTCGTCGTGTTCTTTGTCAATGTTTTTTGTTTTGTTTTATTAGGATGAAGCAGACGAAGACAATCAAGAGAGATTTGCTCTCCATGTTAATCTGGCAAGAATTGCTTCTTTCTTTAAGTACGTTTCCTTGTAGTTTTTTATAAGAAAACATCAATTTTTGTCCAATTTAGGATAGAATAAGATATTGCTTTAAGACCCTTTTTATCCCCTGAAAGTCTACGAAAGATTTCTTTTACTGAGGGTATTTTAGAGGAGGAGAGGTACATTCGGTCGGGCAAAAACAATCCTGAATTTTTCTTGTACTTTTGGCAAGAAATTCGTAGTTTTGAAGCGAACATGAATCTGTGTCTGCAAACTTCATGTACTTTGTAGTTTCTTTGTCAAAGAAATTTGAAGATGCAGTGAAAATCCGGTCATATATTGTTACACATGGAAATGATACATTCAATACAGTTTTTTCACTGTTGTAAGTATAGAATTTCATGCGATTAAGTTGAGTCAAAAGAATATACCCATTACTAACCGAGTTCGAGGCCCATAATGAGAGTTACGAACCGGATTTTTTCCTCTCGGATTTATGGCCCATGCGCGTAGGGCGCGGGCCATAAATCGAGCTGGAAAAAATCCATAACTTGCAGCAAGGACCTGGAAAACGAAGGTGGTGAGATGTTTGTTATATCTCTGGCGGGAGACGATTTCAATTCAAACAAAGTTTTGAATTTAGCGGACCGTACACTGAAATACGGCCTGCTGAATTGACCAATCGCAGCACAAGTACTAACTGAGAGATATGATGATACAATTTAAGCATTTTATCGTTATTGCAGATCCCACAATCTTAATAAATGGGACCTTTACGATGATTTGTCATACATTATTGACTATTCTGCAAAGCACACCGTACCAGACGAGGTAGGCAAGTCGTCTTTGTCGTGACCAAATTTGGTTGTTCATCGTGGTTTTCTTGATAAATGAACGTTTAATCGTTTGTCCATCGATGTAGGATTAGGCTCTCTAGTGTATTCATCGCGACGTTTCGACTCGTGTACTACTAGTCTTCGTCAGGCAACGAGGTCGAAAGATTACGTGTCGCTATTTAGAGTACGTTAGTTTCTTGCTATTGGTGTGTTTTGGCGCGCTTGGTGTGTTTTGGCGCGCTTGGTGTGTTTTGGCGCGCTGTCATTGGAGTATCTTTCCCGCCTTAAATCTCCCATACCCCTCCGGTCCCCTATTATCACAAGCCCCTATCCCTGTTCCCGTCTGCATGCTATCACAATGCGGTTTTGGTGTCTGTTTTATTTTACTTTTTTTTCCTTAGCTTTGTTTTATTGCTGTCCTTTTTGTTTTAGGCGTTTTTTGTTATTTTGTTTGTGGAATTTACAGCTGGATCGTAAAACCTGTTATACAATATTTATTTTTTCCCATCAAGAGAGTTATGTGTGTGAACTCAACTTAACGATAACTGTCAACTACGGATTTTTGTCTTTTTGATTCTGATACAACAGATATTGGAGCTGACCTTTTTAAGCATGCAGATGTTACTTGTTTGGAGTCTTACCGAGATCGATGTTAACGAACCGGATAAGGTTAGATTTTAAATCTTATTTTTTTCTCTTTCGTGACGAATGTTCATTGTTGTATTTCAGCAATTGGGTTCAAGTGGGGCATTCTCCCCACCCCACCCCTCCTTCCAACCCCGTTTCAACGTGACCTTACCACGTGTATGTTTCCTTTCCCAGCATGAGATGCGCACCCTGAAAAAGAGAGTGAATCAGTTTATGTCAAACTGTGACGAGCTCATACAGTTCAGTACAGATTCTGTCCAGAGAGTGGTAAGACAAGAAATACATGCTGTTAAATGATGGTGGACTGATTAACGGCATGTCATAATGTATAAAAATTTGCTTTATCAATTGAGTTGATTTTGTAAAACGGCCACCGTAAAGAGTTTTAAAGCTGATGTTTCGAGCGTTAGTCCCTCGTCATTCGCTCTGACAAAGGGCTAACGCTCAAAACATGAACTTTAGAAACTCTTTACGGTGACTAATTCACATTATCAACTTGGTTTCTATAACCCAATTATCTTGTTCTACTTTCCCCTATTAGAAACTTACCCCTATGTTCATTTCTGATCTTTGGTCAGTTGTTATTGAAACCATCTACACATTAATTTTTTTATTACTTGGAAGAATTTATCTTTAAAATTTTTCAACTTGTGTTTTCCTTTTCGTCCTCAAGGCATTTTGTTGTATCTGTGATTTGCTGATCGTTTTTGCCAAGCAGTTAAAGAACAGAGGTAATTTATGACTCGTTTGATTGCATGATCTTTTTGTTGGTGCTATTTCGGCTGATCCCAAACATGTCTTTTTTACTATCGCTATGTTTCAGCCCCCATTCTGGCGCCTTTGGTATATGAAGCTGATCACACCACTCAAGTGAGGCTCAGAGATTACGTCATCAGTCACGTGTTCACGGACTTGGACGAGGACGAAGCAGAGGATGAAGACGGTGAGATATTTTAAATCTCTACGCCCTAACATCAGATTGCATATTCTCCATACTTTTCACTATACATACCAAAGGTGCTGGCAAGGAGAATTTATTGAACAATCAAGAGTTTCTTTAGTTGGTGATCATTTCCTATATTCTCGTGACCGTAATGCTTGATTCAGGGATGATATTGTACGGAGAAATAAGTTGCTTGTCACTCTTAGGGGTTAAATTGTTAAGAAACATCTGTTATCATGGTTGAATCAAAACATGTTGAATGCTACAGGCCTCTAGGTCCACTCAGCGCTGCTATTAAGTTTGAAAGTAGAACTGAGGAAAATAAGGAGTAGTAGACGGCCAGGTTATTGCGTTGAACACCGTGCTGTTTCGTCAGATTACACTCAAGCCTGGGAGCTGTTCAGTTTAGATGTTCCATGTGTTCCACAACGAACGCCCGTCCGCAAGAAAATTCTAAACGTGGAATCGATCCACAATTTTAAACCTGTCACTGGTAAATTTTGCATTCAATTCCACTTTAAAAAATGGGGAATGCTGCAGTGCAAATTTCTTCGAGGGGCGTTAAATAAATTTTTAGTGATTCATCAGCAATGATAGCAAAATCAGGTGAAATTAGCAGACTAGCAGGCGAATTTGGCAGGCTAACGGCTTTTATTGAAGGCTCTGCGCGTTACTGTCGGAGCTAATCTCAGCTTTCCATGACGCATTTTTGCTCGTATGCTTTTATTCGACAGAGGACCAGACGGACAGCAGTGCTTTGGAGTTGAGCAAAAAGAGAACAGTTCTGGCAGGATTCTGTAAACTCGTCGCTTATAATGTGATTGATATGAAGCTGGTTTCTCCCATTTTCGCATTCTTAATCAGGGTATGAAAACGTGCATGACGTGTGATATTCTTAGAGGAACACATTTTTCTTTTGAAGGACGTTATCGCTTGAAATCTTTCGCTTAAAATCATCAGGCTTAAAATTGACCATTTTAATGTACATCATCGTTGCACAAAAGCATCACGTGTCGGCATCTTATCCTTGTAGTATGAAAAAATCGGCCCAGCCTACCACGAGTAGCCTAAAGCTTAGTGGTAGAGAAGAAAGTCCTAGGGTGGACTCCTATTAGGAACACAACTTCTTGAGAATGCCCGTGTAATCCACTGGGTAACATCATCTTTCACTGACCTTTACGCTACTCACAAAGAGTTGAACAAGGAGCTCTTAGTGTAGCCTTGCTTGTTTCTTAACAAGCGCACGACACTTAATCATTGCTAAAATTAAAAAATTCCTTTGAAAAATAAACAGCACAGTGCAGAACAGTTTATTCGGAAGGTTCTGTATCTAGTTACAACTTCAAACAATCCACTGAATGTTGTCTCTCGTGTACAGGCATACAGCAACTATGGTGATATCATTCGCCATACTATGACAAAATGCCGAGATATCAGTAATTCAGCTTTTGCCAAAGCTTTGCTTCTGAGTCTTCAACAAGAGTTTGAAAAACTGCAAGATGACAATGACGGAACTGCAGACACGAACTCAAAGGAATTTGCTGGAATCAAGGTAATTTTTTTCAAATACTAGGCAAAAATTGGAAAACTCCCTTACTTTCATCGTAACCCTTAGAATATTCTTCAGACATTTACCGCAATGAAGGCAAAAAATCGTAGCTACCAAGTCGTAAACTGTAAAGATACTTATACAAGGATGTGACGTTTCAGCCACATCTTAAATTTGGAGGCTGTATGTGCCTCAGCCCTTAACACCCTAACATCAGTATGCATATTCTCCATACTGTTCTTTATACATTTCCTAACGTACTGACAGGGAGAATTTGTTTAATAATCAAAAGCTTTTATTTAGTTGGTAATCATTTTCTTCATTCTCCTGACCTTAATATTTGATTCAAGGGTGATATTGTGAGGAGAAATTAGATGCTAGTCACCCTTAAAGGGTCAAAGGGTTGACATGATTCAACTGTTTTCAACATACGGTTCTATTTTTTTTATTGGATAATTACTTGTATTCATTCTGTAGGAACTCGCTCGTAGATTCGCGCTCTCAGTCGGCGTAGACACAACGAAGCCTCAGTCTCGGGAGTGTGTTGTAACTTTGCACAGGTTTGTTGCCTCAAAGTATATTTTTGTTACAGCTACGCTATATTTCGATTCCAATGTCACTGCTTGTGTGAAGCGCGATGGGTCTAAGGTTAACGCGCTAGACTCTCGGTCGAAAGGTCTGGGTTAGAGACTTAGTGGGGTCAATGTTTTGCGTTCCTCAGAGGCTTATTACTCTCACGGTGCCTCTCTTCACCCAGGAGTATAAACGGGTGTAATTGTACTGTTTGAGAAGCCTGATGAAATGCCGGGAGGTAACCTCCGATGGACTGGCAACCCATCCAGGGCGATTAGGGAAACTTATAGTCACTTCATACTCGTAAAAACAGGGATGAGCCACTTGACTTGAGTGCAGACTTTTATGTCATTGTTTGATTGATTTCTTTGTCTACAGGGAAGGTATCAAGTACAGTCTTAGAAATGGAGATGCACAGAAGAGTGAAGATGAACCACCATGCAATCTTCAGTTTTTGGACGTGTTAAATGAATTTACTTTCAAGTTGATTGCTCAAGACAAGGCGGGAAAAAGTGGCGTGTAAGTGTAATAATTCATGCTCAGATTTGGAATTGAGGTGTGGGGACCATATCGCAGCTATCAATTGAGTGTTGAAAGGAAGCCGGTATTTGTTTAGTTTTGCTTTACTTTTCTCTATGATTGGTCTAGAAAACCCGTACCACTCTCAACCAATCAGATTCAAAATGAACAGCAATCACGAATTGGTCGCCCGCGTTTTCCCGCGCTTTAGGCGGTTTGTTTGGTTTCACTTTGAGTTCTGATTAGCTCTTCAAAGTATTTTCCTTTCTTCTGATTGGTAGTACTTTGGTTTTAGTTTTGGTTTTACGACACTCAATCGAAAAGCGCTCTATTATGAAAAAAAAATTTAATGGAAAACTTAATAATTATTAATCGACAAAAAATGACATTGGTATTGTGTGAAGCTTTCTATTTCAATATTGCTCTTGTCAGAGAGTAATCTATGAAAATTAAAGATTAAAAATTCGTACGGCATTTTGGTTCATGGTAAGGTCTTGGTTGTAACCTGTTGTTATCCACTTGCAGATTATCATTTCTGGATGAAAATGCCAAAGAGATGATTCACAAAAAGGGAGGTCAGTGGAGTCCTTTGCTATCATACAGGAACGGCTTGACTGGACAGGACGAGGAAGAAGAAGGTATGGAGGAAGCCCGTGATGTGATAAATGTGAAAATTACATTCACTAAAATAAGTTCTTTCGGTGATAGCCTAGCTGGTCTCTGCGAGGGAAACAAAAATATTCAAGGCTGGGGAGAAGTTGGGAAAAATTTGTTACATTAAAACAATGAGTAAGATAAGTAATGCAGAGTATCCTCAAGTCTTACCATTGATTTTGGAACATTATGGGGAAGTGTCGAGAGAACTGGGTTTAAGTTAGCAAGGTGCGATGTTGTCAAGCCTGAAAACAAACGTTATTTATCAAGCGGCAAGTGAGATTTGCTGCAAGAGATTCAAGTAAAAATCTCTATTCTTTATCGCGTTCTCTACTGCTATGAGGTGTCTTAGTTTCGTGTGTGAGTTGACTTACAGGCTGATAGACGTAGGCCTCAAGATTAAGAGGTAGACTCTCAGACTAACAGATAGACAGAGACTGAAAGACTGGTGGACCTAGACGCGGAGTGACAGACGAACGGCAAATTCTGGAAGATTTAGAGACCCAGAATCAGACAAAAAGACAGATCGATTAGCATTATCATATTAAGACTACTAGAGAGAAGAGTGCACTGAAAGGCCGTGCGACTGACAGGGAATAACAGATAAGCAGATAGGTAGAGACAGACAGACTGACAGATACACTTGATAAACGTCTTATACGAATCTCTTGTATTTGAAGGACAACAAAAAGGAAGTCGCGCAAAGAGAAAACTTCCCATGGAAGGTAAGCTTTGCTCCCAAGTATTTTCACTCCAGTATTAAACGGCCGGAGCCACACGTCTGCCATAATCTTTCCTTTCTTTCCTTTAGGAGACGAGAGTAAAGATGGAGAATTGATATCCAAACAAACTAAGACAAAGACAAAACAACAGAAGCCGAAAGGCCCGCGTGGACGGCCTCCGAAGTCGACCACCTCAACAGCACAACAAACTGTACTCTCGACGGCAAAACCAGCGAAACCTGTCAGACCAGTTGTGGAAGAGTCAGAAGCTGGTGATGATAACAATAAAGATGACGATGACGCCATTTCGTCAGGTTCAGAAGAATGGTCACAGGAAGACCAGGCTCCATTGTCTTCGATGAAGAAACCAAACCAATCGACCGATAAAGTTGACGATATTGAGGAAGCGTCTACTGCTGAGAAACAAGGACCAGTGAAAAGAAAGCGAGAGGAGACATCACAGTCTGACGAGGAAGAAGATGAAGAACAAGACAACGATGACCAGGATTTTGAAAGGTATCGTGCTGTATAAGATCACATCTACTCTAGTTCTGTCCTTTTTAGGCGATAACCGGTAAAATTTACCGCCTTATTGGTTTGAAAAAGTTATTTTACCTTTCTGGCCTAAAATAAGGAAAAACACTGGTCTACTCCCATACATTCTGACATTCTGCACAGCCTGTGCATGAATACCGATGTCGCCTGGATTCACGGTGACAGGTGCTCTTTGTAATGTAATTGTGATTGAAAGTTTCGTGTTGTGTTCCTCAGTCTTCCTACATCATCTCAAAGATCGTGGTTATCAAGTCAGACACATCGACAAGACAGCAAAAAGGCTCGAATAAGTTACAGTAAAAAGGATACATCAGGAATCGGGTAAGTGCGGATTGTTTGGAAATGAAACGCTCGTTCGTTTGATAGTTCGTTTGATCGTTTGCTCAGTTGCTCGGTTGCTCCTTCGTGCGTCCGGTCGGTTTTGTTGATATTTTGTCCGTTCGTCTGGTCGTTGGTTTGATCGACCGTCGGTCGATCGGTCGTTTTTTTCGTCGGTCCCTCGTTTGATCGGTTGATCGTTTGTGCGTCACTTATGCCTTCATTGTAAATCTAAAGGTGCCGCTTTCGAAATAATCCTCGAATTCAAGAGAAAGGTTAAATTCAAGGCAAAATGTTTATTTTGTCGTATTTTGCAGCCGCACGAGTCTTGAGGATATCGAGGACGAGGATGAAATCGAAGAATACGAGAGTGAAGACGAAACAGACAAGGGGAAACAGGTAAGAACAATGATAATGCTTTAGAGACAAATTCTCACCTCACGGAGAGACACTGCGATGATTATTTCGGAGGCTGTGTGCTGTAAAGGTAACAACGGGGAATGAAAACGGTCTCCTGAGTAGTAAGGAGGTCGCTATGGCAACCAAGCCAGTACCCTTTACTAAGCACCTTTGAACACAAAGTGGTGTGTGAAGGTGGGAGGGAAGATGGGGAGAAGGGGGCTTCTGACAGGTGAAATCCTCGCACTGGCTTAATTTCAACCTTGCTTAAATTACGTTTAGTCTCTTTAAAAAGGGAAGAGAAAACTTAGGATGCAATCGATTCAATGAGCAGAACGGCTCGTTTAGACGGCGAATTCCGTTAATCAGAATTGCCTAAAACATCTAGGTGGCTATTTCTGACTAATGGTAACAGTTTAGCTTTGGCCTTGGGTTGTCTCGTATTCTGTGACGAAACCCTCTTTTTCTCTTTCTTCGCTTGTCGATTTGTTCTCGTGAATATACATTTTTTTATTAATAGACAGCGCCAACTCGGGTGAGAAGGGAAAAGAAAGAGCTACCCGATGATTTCTTCGTTGACTCACAGGAAGAGAAAGAAACGGTAAGAGTAATTGTCGGCGGAAAAGCGAAGAAAAATTACCTTGTAAAACATTTTCCGCATTTATGCCGCCAGTCTTTTTTCCTTGGGCATCATCATTAGGGTTGGGCTAAAAAGAATGGGTTTTTTTTCTAGTCAAGTGGTGTCATCTTTGGTAGATTCGGTGCATTCTTGCCGATACTCCGCCAATCTCGTCTCCAGAGCTCTCTTTACCGTTTTTCAGTGGAAGGGCTCCGAATGCCATAATCGATCCAAAATTTTTGACATCTCATGGAGTCCTTTAACCCCTAACTGTTACACCTTAACATCGGTATGCATATTCTCCATACTGTTCTTCACACATTTCTTAAGGTGCTGACAAGGAGAATTCGTTGAATAATCAAGAGATTCTTTAGTTGGTGATCATTTCCTTTGCTCTCATGACCTTATTGAGTGATTCAGGGGCGATACCGTAAAGAGGAATTAGATGCTAGTTACTCACAAGGATCAAAGTTTATAGAAACTTGAGATTATAATGAAGTTGCAAGAAAAACAAAACAATAATCAGAGTTCACCGCTTACAACATTTCAATCCAAAGTTGAATCGTTATTATTTTTTCCACTTTTCCATCACAGGAAGAAGAATCTTCTCTCGAAACAGCTTTTTGAGTCCACCGCTACAAGACAGACATCCTTATTTGGATTAGTGATTGTAATATTTATTAACGTTGTTTGTGTACAGAGTTAAAGACTTTTAAAGACCTTACTTTAGTGTAGTTTTACTGTTTTTGTAAACTAGATGTTTTAATTTTTTTATGATTCGACAAGTACTCTTTCGAGACTCTAAGAACCTATTCATGTAATGATAGTGAAATGTTCTGCTTTCGCCGTGTAATCCGCCGCTCAAGCATAGAGCTCGAGGTTTTTTTCGCTGAAACCTCTTTACCTACCCGACGAATTACGCCGGGAGAGAGGGACTGCCTCTAGGTTTAGTAACACGAGGAGAGGGAGACTGCCCAAAGTCTAGATTTCACACCGTTGTGAGCCGACCGGTCAATTTCTTTAAAATATTCACCGCGGTTTTATTGCCTTGTAAGTTTTCAGACAGAGTTTTAAGGTTCTAACTATACTTATGCAATATTAAAAAGCTTTATTTGAACAAAGAAGTTTCCAAGGCAATTCTTCCTCTTAGTGACTTAATTTTCCTGCCTCGTTATGTAAACCTGCTAACACCATGAGATTAGCAAATCAAAACGACATAGCTTTGGTTTCAAGGTCACAGCTTTTTCGACGGGCAAGAATTTGCCTTCGACCGAAAAAGGGGAGTTCCGTTGGTGACGAACAATTTCCTCATCTCAGAGGGGTCAAAACAGAAGTCAGAACTCAAGGAGGATTGAGGAAAAAGAAAAAAAACGGACGGAGGTTTGCACAAAATAGTAGAGCACTTAAGAAAAACAAAGAAATTTAGGGAGGAAGGGTGAAGATGATATGTAAGAATAGAAGAGGCCTGTGAGAAAGGAGTAAAAAAAAAAAACCAGTAACGAATCACTTTCCTAAGAGTCGGTAAAACACCTTTACAGGAGTTCTTATTTAAAGGAACAAATCACGGTAAGTTGATAAGTGCGTGTTTATTTACTTTTGTCACAGAGAACATTTCTGAGATGCCCCAAGCCTTCATCTTAAAACGGGGGTAGAAAAATGATAGGTTATTATCATGCAAGTAAAACTTACTTTACAGATAAAGTTTTTAAGCCACGCCTCGTTTTGGAAGCGAGGGTTCTTGGAACTCAGAAACTAGCTGTAGCTTTCTGGATCATACTCTACTCACTAGAACAAATTTATATAACCAGAATGAAGAAAGAAAACATAATCATGAGGAATATGTACGGAGTGTTGTTTAACTTAAAATTATTAAATTAGGTTTACATAAGTTTTCCCTCAATGAAGCTTGCTATATAGAAAGATTCCTACACCAACTACGCAATCCGCACATATCTTAAACAAATAGAAACGTCAAGCTGCGATAACGTCATAATCCCAAATATGAGGAATAAATCTAGGAGTTTGTGGCTTTTATTCCAGAAAATATTGTAAGAAAGTCTTTACTTTTAAGTTGAAGTTAATACATCGACCGTGAGGTATTATGGAAAAAAAGGAACAGCTGATTAAGCAAAATCAAACTGTGCACAAAGTACAAGACATTCACATTTCAATTTACATGAAATTTTCCAAGCAAGGAAAAAATAATTTACCCCAAGTTGAAACTCCTTTTAGCTATCGCCTTTTACACCGTGCACCTCGATGTTACGACATTGGACTCCAAACAGTACCTTCCACTATGTTGTCCTAATGCTTCAGAAAAGAACTGGGATATTCACAGCAAACTGTCCATAGTTAGCTACAAAACTAAGATGAACATCCTTAAATTTATAACAAGTGATATCACTTCCTCCTTCCTCTTACAACTTTAAAAATACCTAACCATAGTCGGATTGAAGCTGTGAAATCTCTTGTTCTACCTTTAACCACTTAAACGAAACGGCTGCTTAAAAGTCACTCGACAAACAACTTTCCCCCCAAATTAACACATGTACATTATTTTAAAGTTTAGTCGAAAAAGGCTTTTATTTCATCACATCCAATCACAACTTCACAAGTCCACGCAAACACGTCACACGTGCATGATGATAACCACCATGATGGCAATGAATTACGTCACGTTTGGCAAGTTTCTTCGCTTTGAAATCGCTGGCTCACATGAGCAGCCATCATGGATAAGAAATTTTCTTTCAGTTAAGTTCTTGGCAAGAGTGTTTCAAGCAGATTTATAACTAAAGTTCCAACAACTTCGCCCCGTGTCCGTGTCTCACGGAGGTTATAAACGAGTTAAAATAGTCTGAACAATAAATTATCTTTTCTTGAGTATTCTCCACAAATGAGCAACCAAAATTATTACAATTACCAGCTAAAATTCGGTTTGATGGACTGCTACCATTTCTACTTAGTACTGGGGCTCCACTGCGCGCGTGCTGCGAGCTCCGCTAATACGTCATATTGCCAAGCAGAAAAATAATCCCACGAAATTATTTAATATGAAACATTTTTTCAACTTTAAGATTTACATATTTGGTTCGTGTTGTGTGCTCGTTACTTTTTTCAACACAAAAGAACAAGGAGGTAACAATTTCAACTGAAGTTGCTACCTTGACTTCTGAATTACAACTAAATGGAACCACCAAGATCCTAATAGTGACTTTTCCCAGCCCACCTTCGCCATTAGTCTCTTGTTGTGGCTGGCTAAAGTTCAAATATTTCCAATGTACTTTTGTCGATCCATAAATAACAAAGTTTCCATCGGGTTTCTCAGTCTACCTTGACGATGCTGTAGATTTTTCTCACAAAGAAGAAACAGGCGAAAAATCCCACAGTACCTGGGAAAAGGTATAAGCGATTTTAGATTTAAATGAAAGGCATAAAAGTTTGGCACAGAATTCGTCATATTGTTATTCAAAGATTGGTCCATACTCAGCGTGCAAGTATCGTGGTTTACATGAAAAGCTGAATTAAACACACATCTTCATTGGTTCATACACGTAGACGACGTCACCATCGACGATATGGTGCTCTTTATCATATATAACAATAAATTCTATATTGCCTTGGGTCCGTTCAGTGGTAGATCAAAGATAAGGTCAAAATGCGTTTGGGAAATCACTGACACACTTAGCTGCGCCCCGTGTACCACGTTTTGTTCATACCACATTCTGACGCCTTCTGTGATCTATTACTGAACAGACGCACTGCAACATGAAATCCATTTGTTTGGAGTCTATGGATGCATGCGGGAAGTTTGGAGATCTCAAAAGAAACGCAAGAGTTGCTGGTCCATTTGTCTGGAATCTATAGATGCATGCGGGAAGTTGGAGATCTCGAAAGCTGCGTTAGAGTTGCTCAAGGCGCAGTGGAGAGTAACTCTAGTTCTTGAGTCACCGCCACCCGGAAGCCTGGAACAAGTTACCAATTACAACGGCAAAGAATACCAATCACAATGGCAAGGATCCATGACGCACTTACCAGTGAAAAGGAAGAAGATCAACACCATGATCAGTGTGTAGCCGAAGTACAGGAAGGTGGAGGCTGTTCCTGTGATGGTCAGTTTGGTGACAAAGAAATGAATCGAGTACAGAAAGAAATACACTGCAGTACATCCGCCAGTCAGGAAGGAACGCCACCACCAATGATAATCCTGCAATTGAGTAAAGCGTTTAAAATAAGCGAAACATTACTGTTAGGGACACTCTACAATAAGTTGCACTGAAAATACACAAACCGTGGGAAAGGATCTAGTTATGGCCTCGAGTCCCTTTACAGTCTGATTTTTCGCTTAACGAGATCGTATTTAAGAACTACATCGACAAGTTTTGAGTTCCGAATATTGCAGAGAATGGATAAGTTTCGTTTTGAACATACGACACGAAGCACACCGCATGCGCGTACCGGCGTGCTGTAGACGTTTGGGATTGGCACCCGCGAGACAGAGCAACTTACAAACGTACGCTGGCGAGAGGTGAAGTTTCGTGGACTTTCTTTCTACTTGCACGGAAAACCAGTTCTTTCACTGTACATGGGAACTGCTTTAAGCTTCCAAGGATACTAAACACGAATGTAACCCTAATGCATAGAGAAGTTCTATCTAGTAGTGAAAGCCACAGCTTCGCCTCCAACCGTAACAAGAATTTTCTCTGCTTCAAAATTGCCACGAACGAGAAAGCGTGTTGAATAGCATACCGCATGCGCGTACTGGCGTGCTGTAGACGTTTGGGATTGGCACCCGCGAGACAGAGCAACTTACAAACGCACGCTGGCGAGAGGTGAAGTTTCGTGGACTTTCTTTCTACTTGCACCAAGGAAAACCAGTTCTTTCACTGTACATGGGAACTGTTTTAAGCTTCCACGAATACTAAACACGAATGTAACCCTAATGCATAGAGAAGCTCTATATAGTAGTGAAAGCCACAGCTTCGCCTCCAACCGTAACAAGAATTTTCTCTGCTTCAAAATTGCCACGAACGAGAAAGCGTGTTGAATGTCAAAATATAAAAGATAGAAATGTAAGGGCGACTAGAATGTACGAAAGCAAAATGTTAAGGTGTATAAAGCACCGTACGATAAAGTAAAATTTTGGTGTGGTCCGCTCGAAGACCACTGTTTTCCCTTCGATCATTGTCCAATGTTTGGGCGCAAAAGAAGCCGCTAGGGAGTTACCTACGTGAACCCTTAAGGGTGGGATAATTCGGCACTCGTTCACACGCGATCGCTTCGCGCTCCCTCCCATAACTGTGAAGAAAACAGCCATGGAAAGACTAGTTTTGGTTCGAATTTAACCACATGAATTTCCTCACCTCAGCACAAAGATGGAAATAACACAACAGTATGGTGGTCTCTGACACGGTCAACAGTAGAATTAAACAAACCACAAACAAGAAACCAAACATGTAGTAAATCTGATGCGACCTGGTTGATGCAGAAAAAAAGCAATAAAATCACTCATACTGATAGTTCAACCTAAAATGAAACATTGAACTGCCGTTTTGTTGGGTCACCCGATAATCCGAACTAAAAATAAATAAGCGAGTATTTTTCAAGAAGTTTATACAATAAAAGTGGAATTTAAGGAGGCTGTCTGTATTATTGCGTGTTCACATGAAATTGTTCAGACTTTTCCTTATAATAGGGAAGAAAATAGCTTTTTGCACGACAAAATATATGTATGGCAGAATTTGGAGAAGAACATTTGGATTCAAATACAGTTTGCATCATCCAAGTTCGCCTGATACTCCTACAAATATATTAATTGCTTGTCAGGAAGGCAGTCTGCTTTACGAGTTTGTAAAAAACGTAAAGGGGCTGTAACAAGTTACACGCAAACAGAAAAAAAGGAGAAAAATCTAACGGTTCAACATAAATTTAGGTAAAAATCTCCATAATTCATACAATAAAGAGACTTACCAAATACTGTTTAAGATAAAAAACAACTGGATAAAAATACACCCAAACGGAAGAACACCTCCCATGATGATTCCTGGTCCTGCTCTGGTGTAAATACTCTGCAAGACAACAATATTTTATTTTGAGACAATATCTTAATGATTTTAATACAAATCTATTACACGTAGAGCACTAAGGCGCTTTCTGATTTAGTAACGTAACAGCAAAACCACCGTAATCGCAACGGCCAATCAGAAGGAAAGAAGTTACCATATGGAGCCAATAAAGCTCAAGTCTAAAGCGCGGGAAAACGCGGGTTACCAAGTCGAAGTAACAAGAGCCGATAAAAACCCAGGCCTAACGCGCGGGAAAACGCAGGTTACCAAGTCGTGGTCGCTTCTAGTTCTGGATCTGATTGGTTGATAGAGAGGCGCGAGTTTTCTGAACCAATCACGGAGCGAGATAGAGCAAAATCCCGAATTACTTTCGACACTCAATTGAAAACTTCGCTCAAAAAGACATTCACTCGTTACCTTAATTCAAGATATAATGAATCATTGTCTAATATAAAATGGTTAAGGCAAAGGTGGTGTGTGAATTAGAACTGACCTGTGGAACCACCTAGATTGTAAACCTCTAACTTGAGGTGCTCTGTATTCTTTAGAGTCCGTAATTGTACTTACCTGGTCTGGAATCTGACGAGGAATTTGATTGGTTCGAACTGGTTGCTCAATTGGCTAAAGGAAAAAATAAACATTCTTCAGAATCCATAATTGTACTGACATGGGAAGGTGTCAAAGGTCTAAAGGACCGAGAGGTCAGGGTTCGAGCCAAGGCAGGATCTTCATAATGCCTTTTTGGGCAAGAAACTTTACTATCACAGCATTTCTCTCCACTTCGGAGCATAAATGGGTACTAAGAAACTGTTAACGGAACCTGATTAAAAAAAAAGAAAAAAACGCCAAAAGCACACCCGCGCATACTGGCATCTCGTCTAAGAGAGGGAAGAGGAAACAATACCCCAAATCGCTTAACGACTCAACTCCTGAGAATGACAGACATCTACTGTAATTTCTCCTTACAATCTCACCCTTGAATCAAACATGAAGGTCACGAGAATAGAGAAAATGATCACCAAGTACAGAAGCTCTTGATTTTTTAACAAATTCTCCCAGTCAACACCTAAGGAAATGTATAGAGAACAGTTGGGAGAATATAGATACCAATGTTAGGGTGTCTAGGGTTTATGCTATGGAAACCAGGATATGTGTTGGCCAGATGGGTTTTCTAGCCAACAGGCTGACTTTCCGTTTATATTGACTACTACCTTAATTATCAGCGGTTTATACATGTACTGAAATTACCTTTTTCTTAAATCCAAGGTAAGCCCCCAGGAATGTAAGTGGAACTGAAATGCCAAACCTATCGAGTAAGAAAAGAAAAAGGAAAAATTAACATTTCCTGCATGTTTCATAAAATGCGCAGAGTCATGGGCTGATAATGATTCAGGTTTAGACTTACCACATGGCTAACAGGGCAAGTAAAGTGGTGAATGGAACAGCCGCCGAGGAACCCTCTGACCACAGAACAAGATTTAACAGGAAGAAAATTCCAAACATCAATCTGGAATCAAAGAAAAAAGTTATTACATTCGACAAGGGTGATAGTTATGGCAACAATATTGAAAATGACAATTACACTGACTGTGATGAAGACCAAAATAAAGATAATGATAAAGATAATAACAAAGATCATTAAAATGATAATGATGATGATGATAAAAATGATGACAATGATAATTCATTCTTTTTAGATGCATTTCTACTGTAATCAAAACTTTCACACAATAAGGCATTAGACTTACTTTGAGCGGCTAATAAACTGAGTATTTTTAACAGTTTACATTGTAATCTTAAGAATTTCAAATCCTTCCTAAAAGATCTTTGCAGTGAATACCTCTTACATTGAGTTTTACAAGTCAAACTGAAAAGTCTTCCTGTCACAAACAAAAGAAGCAGCTTCACTGAACTTCATTCTTTCCAGCTGTACACTGTAGTGTTCATGTTTGCATCAATGAGTACTCACCCAGGGAAAAAGAATGCCGATAACAGAACATTGGTCTTCCATAATTCTCCGCCAACCACTAAACAGTTAAAAAAGAAGTTTACAAAGCACTATTAGAATTCTGTTGAATGGAAAATGCCACCCAGAATAACAGGGACACTGAAGGATGATAGGGCATGCATAGAAGGGCTGCATAACAGTTGTACAGTATACAGAGAAAGTTCATTTCTTTCTACATAACTTAAAAAAAATTGCGAACAAGCAAATACCTTTTACAAAAAGACAAAATCTACCTTACTGAGAAAAATGTATAAAAACAAAAATTTGTTCAATGATGTAATGTAATTTTCTCCCTTGACAATACCACCAAATGCTTGTTATCCATGGCACTCACTTTTGTAAATTCTGGCAGAAACATAACCAGCAGGTGAACCAAGACAAACAAACAGCACCTACAAAAAAAAAAAAATAGATAAAAAAATATGTACATTGTACTTATTAACCTACACATATACATGTCATTTCAGTAAACTTCTTTGGCTGGGTTCTTAAACATTTTAGTAAATAAAACTCACACCTTTTTTCACACTTATTCCAAACGACTCTTCTCAATTTACCAAACTGAAGGTTACATGTGTATAGAGAGTTACATGTGACCTGTGCTGAATAGCCCCTGTTGGAGGTTTAGGCCAAAAAATAAAAACTCACTGACCACTGCATTTAGAAAAATGGTGTTTGACCAGCTACCTTACAAAGATCAAACACAACAATATGGCAGTGATTGCTGATTAGGAAAAGATTTTTTAAAAGATGTTCCATTAAACTAGGGTATTACATGTACATTTGATTTGGAAAATTTTTGCTTTTTTTTCCAAAGAATGTCAGGCAGCAACTCACCAATGAACAAGTCATCAAAGCTCCACGGTTCGCAGGTGAAAGGAATCCAAGACAAGCAAACACTGAAGAGGAACAAAAGAAGATTTAATCTATGAGACAACACCTTAGTTAAAAAACTCAATACAGAGTTAATACATACACGTAGTTGACGAAAAAAAATCAATCCATGACATGAGCAAAAATACAATGAAACAAACTCAAACAAGGGTAGAAAAAAGTAGTTGGTGAAAGGTGAAGATTAGAATGTTACATTCTCCGACAAGTCATCATCCTCTTGCTATGCCTCTCCCCACTCAGGGTGGGTACTGGCAAACTGCCAGGGTAACTTGCTAAGGACTGGAATCTCATCCAGAGGGGAAAAAACATACCCAGTAATCAAATGAAAATGTATACAATTCTTTTAAGGCCATGGAAAAATACATTAAGTCAATCTCACCTAATGTGAAAAACACCATAATAAATATCTGAGTTCCACAACCCAACATGACAGACAATAACATTCCTTTCTTTGGAGGGCGGAAGACATCTCCATGAACCAACTTCCAGCCAAACTCCTCTTGAGCCTCCTCCTACAAAAGGTGTGATAAATTATATTAATTTCATCTCTCAGTTATTATGAATGCCATGATTGGTCCATACGGTGGGTTATATTTCACTTAACGTTAAAATAGCAAAATTATGTCTCATTTATCATCAATTGCTTCTAACTTTCAGTTTAGAACTTTTGTTTTCATATAATTGTCCATAAAATCAGAGGGGCAAAAAACACAGTCAGCAACTTGCAGCATAAACCCCAAACTTTGTCAGTAAGAGGTATTAAGGCTGGAAACAGTTAACTTCAAATGTTTCCAAAAAAATTGAACTTGGTTCTCTGACAAGTCTCATTTTACACCAACCAACTTCTCTATTTAAAATCTTAGATCTGACTACATACCGCTGACTCCATCTGATTGTAACGAGCAATGTCCTTATGCAGAGTTCGCAGCATAATCATGGCCACCATTCCAGATAAAAAGAGCACAATGACCAATGAATTCATGATGCTGAGGACAAAAGATCACAACACTAATAAGATCACATGTTAGAGCGACTCAATGCCATCAAGAGGACAGTAGCAAAAAACATAACATCTTTGCATTCCTACCAGTGGAAATTACACAAGTCTCTGAGTTGAATCAAAGACTCTTTGTGACATGATCAGCTGAAAACTGTATATAAATGTAGTTTAGCCCTTTCACCCTAAAGAGAGACTACAAAGATGGTTCATCTTGTACTGTTGATACATTATGAAGTAGAGAGATGATGGAAGGAAAGAAGCTTATCTACAAGGGGATATTGTTTAATTTATATTTTGATGTTTGCATTTTACCTTACAATATAGCCACACAATGCACCATCAGCAATAGATTATAGAAAAAGATATTGAAACCCTGCCTTGATCAACTCATAGCTGATAGTTGCATCTACAGTGTAACTAATTATTCTTCACTTTTGTGCCTCATTGCAGATAAACAACTCTGCTCAATTACTTGCCATAGTACCCCATGTTAGTACATGTGGAGTATATCTTACCTAAACCACTGGATTTTTGTGTGTGGCATTGAATCAAGAATGTAGTCCCAACGGGATGCCCATTTGTGATTGGGATCAGTCTCAGGCTGCAAAATAAAATAAATTTCCTCTTCAATACAAAAAAATACCACTGCAAGTTCAATGAAACTGATTTCTTCTTCACAAGAGTGGAATACTTGATCTCATCAAGGCCATGTACAAAGAGGAGTACCACAATAACCTTGAGGAGGAGAGGGTGAAGAAAGGAGTTTGCATATCACATGTAGACATAAACCCAGTACAGAATATGCTTCAATGCAAAAAATTTTGAACTCATGCATAGTAAATATAATCTTCACATAAGTATGTTTTAGTGCATTTTTCCTGTCACTTTTGGAAAGTTTCATTTGTATCCTTTCAGAACCTTACAAAAAATTGGAAACATCACTTTCCAAAAGGTACAGTATCCTTGGATTTTTTTAGCATTTTTCATGGCCCACATAATACCTGTAAAAAGGTTTGAAAAGTTGGTTTCCTAGAAAGTGAAAGTAGCCATTTACTTAGAAAACAATATTTTGTGCTTTCCTGTGCATTCTCATGTTCTATTGATTTGATTGCTATCTCTGGCCCCACTCAAAATCTATGACTTTCCAGAATTAACACAAACAAATTCTAAATATTTCTTGTCTATCCAGTTTTTCCAAGATTTTAGCTGCACTAAGATTTCAACCCTTTCAACCCCAAGATCTCATTCGTAATTCTCCTTACTTTCCTTACAATTCTTATATGTTAGTTCTAAATATTTGCAGGGCGTGAAATTAACTTTTTTTTTCTGATAGCCACTTGGCTCCTAAATTCTTCAAAGTGGTAGCCAATTCAAAAAAAGTTGGTCACCATTTTCAGAGACAAACAAAATCTTTCTTTATACTGTCAGCGTTCTAGATAGATGCTCCAAAATTAAGTTAGGGAAAAGATCTTTAACGTGCTACAAAGTGGACACTGGGATGGATGATAAACAACGTTCAGGCTCATCTAAATCCAAGATGGCATCTAGTTATCGATCGAGATGCATGTGCTATGTTTTAGAAACAAACTTAACAAGGAAGTTTGCCGCTGATTTATCTTTGCAAATCTTTTTAATTCACTATATCTCTTGGTAAGGTCATGATGAAACGTTCTAGTTGCCAATTTGGCGACTAACTTTCAGGATTTGGTCGCCAAAGTGAAAAATTTAGTCGCATTGTTGCCTGTATTAGTCACATTGGTGCCTGTATTAGGCACAATTTCACGCCCTGATTTGGCATTGGATCAAATAATATTATCCTTTGATTGATATTATTTTATTCTTGATTCTCATCACTCGTCTGCATCATACTGTATTAATAATGTAAGAAGAAATTCTGTCTTGGTCACTATCAAGGAGTGATTTCTCCTTCTGATTTCAATACATTGTCCAGCTTAAAGTGATGAGAACTAACCAAAATATTTACTAAAGGAAAATTATCATATGATTCACCTCCAAATTCTCAGAGCTAAAACTATAAGAAATGTATGGTAGAGAGCAGGGAGAATCACTACTGAGATTTTGGGAAAGACTACGTTTAAGATATTAAATGCTCAAACTCACCAGGAATTGAACAGAGTATGTGTAAGCAATGTAAACATCACTTTTTATCTCAGCTGGAAAACCCATGGCTGGTAAATCACCATCACATTTCAGATCCTTGCCTTTCTCGTGCTTGATACTGTAGAATGAACAAGATTGCTGTGTAAGAATAGATGATTTTTTGTCTTTTCATGCATCTGACTCCTTGAGAGGAATCAAACCTCAAAGAGTAAAACCAGCAAGTACAGTATACAGGTGTATGACATTGGGTTTCTTAAAGGAACTCAGATTTTTTCTTTGTCCCAAACTCATGTCAAGACAAAAAAAATCCATCAATAATACACTTACAAGCTTAAAATGTACAACTTTTATTACTACAAGATTGCTTCAAGTTGGATGACATATATAAGACATTCAGGCACTATGGTGTAAAAAAAAAAAAGAACAAATAAAGCATGCACTCTTGTCAAGTGACTCCTGCAAGAGTTTTATCCCAGTTTCTCTGACATGAAGTGCCAATCAATTGCTGGCTATTCTTGTCCAGCATTTTGACATGTTTCCCTGACATTGGGAGTTCAGTGTCTCAAACACCAACAGTACACAATGAACAGGGCAGATCCCAAACCCAGACCTCTCGACTCAAGAGTCCAGCTCAGCACACAGACCATAAGGCCACTGTGGCCCTCCCTGACAGTGTTGTTTGTGCAGCTCATACCTTCTTGGTGTGACCTTTGCAGACATCAGACGAGCTCCTTCCCAGTCTTCCCCCGACCCATCATGGTATTTGATCTCGATATCAACATGATTAAAGATGTAGTGCATCCCGCGTTCATTGAACTTGGCCTGAAACAAAAAACATAAACGAGGGACAAAATAATTCTCACAATTAAATTGCCAATAACAAAATTACAGATAAAACAAAAAACATCCAGGCTTTCAACTTAAGCCTGGTAAAGACTACATGGGCTCGACTGCCAACTGAGCTGCAATGCCACATGTGGGAAGTGGAGCAAACTTTGGAGGATTTGTCAAAGATAAACCTGAAATGCTTTAGTTCTGGTTCCCTTCAGTTTGCTCACTGATTGGTCAAAAGGCCTTTGTCCCATCCTTTCAACCAATCAGACGCAAAACTAAAACCAATCACAATTTGTCATTAACCCCCACCTCTTGACGTTTGCCTGTGTCTAAGTGTGACTTTCCATGAACTTACATTTTAAATCATTTTCCACTTTGTTCAGTTTTTGGCTGTAATAATGACTTCAATTTCAAATTTCATCCCTCAATTGAAAACTTCTGGCCTTGGTTGCACCTTGGTTATTCAAAGGATGGATAACACTATCCAACATATTCATTGTAAATTGCTATCCAACATGTAAATCTCTATCCAGAGGCTGTAAGTCTAAGCAAAATATACTGCGCTATCCACCAGACAGAGATTTCTCTACTAGATAGCATTATCCACCTTAAAACAACCAGGCGCATTAGTATACTAATTGAGAAATCTGTAAATGCTTACACTTGTTACACAGGCATCGCGTGCTTGTCCATCCTCTGACACATGACAGCCAATAGGAAATCCTGTGGAACAGTACTTTCTTTCTTCATCTGCAACCTCATAACACCAAGTCACAGGCATGTTGTCAATAATCCTGCAAAGATTAGAAAGATGTATAGCAGAGTCAGCTTAAGAGAACAGTAAGTTTAAGACGACACAAAGAACATCTCTATAGAATAAGTACCTGATTTTGCTGGCCTTTTTCACACAAGGTTGAAAGTTTGCATGTCACTATTCATAGCACCATGGTTTGTTATGTTATAAACAGCAACAACGTCGTAATCAATATCATTGACTGGCCTGACTCTTATATTGTGAGACAAACAATCAAAAATTTATTTATCTAATACTGAAAATCTAACAAGACATTGTCATTCAATAAGTATGATGTTGAGACTGCAGCCACACTAACCAATGATTTTGATAGTTAAGAGCAATTCCACTTCTTAAAAATTCCAGCTTCTTCCCATCCTCTGCATTGCCAGATTTGTATTCTTTGGGGCAAAGTTGTTTACATGTTACATCTTTCTTGAACGTAATCTGTCAAACATATTAACAAATAACAAAAAAAAATAAACAAAGATTGCCAAACTATGGAAATGTAAATTGAATGTAAAATACACCAATTACAACACAGAAAAGTTGACTAAAACACAACAGAAGAAAGCTAGTAAATATACCCAGATATTAACTGGTGTATTGCCCAGATAAACATGAAGTCATCTAAACAAGACCGTAAATAAAAGCTGTTGCTTACATTGTAAAGGGAGGGTCTTATCCTCTCTCCAAAAACAACCTGTAAAAAAAGCAAAACACTGCTGTAAGTTCAAGGATGAAGCATAATGCTGTGTAAAATGAGATATTCAGTACTAAAATTCCCAATTGAGTGAGGCATGGAAAAAATTTGGTGACAGGGAATTGACTGTAAAAATTATGTTGTCAAGGGCAACATTCCTTGTTTCCAAGGGTGACTGAATCTCAAGAGCCATGTATCACCAACTGTCAAATATGAAAGCCCACCAGGAGGTAAAAAAAAGCATTGCAACCAAAAACGGAGGCAGTTGTCATGGAAACACATTATGGTCACTAAACTTCCATCACTCCACACTCAGCTGAAAACTATGTCATCAACTTTTAATATTTGAAGATGTCATTTTGCCTTGTTAGGAGCATTGGACTAAGAGAAGAGCACATGTAGAGTCTCTTTGGCTCAGTGGTAGAGCATTGGGGGCACATAATTGGAATGTCCTCATGGGCACTCAGAAAATTAATTTCATATCATTTCCAAGCTAAAAATTAATTATCTTTCTACTTTTGAATATTGCTGTGGAAAAAAGAATATGCATTGACCAGAATACTATGTCAGTAGTATTACACAATGTGCCTTTCCCTCCTGACAATCTTTATTTCAGCTCTTACAACCTTTTTAGATCACGATAAGGCAAATATGTATGGGCAAATCAAAGAGCTAAGAACACCATCTATGTAAAACATGGTCTATATGCATGCTTATTTACAAACCTGTCCAAGGTTTTCTGTTGGTGATGTCTTGTCTGTGGGTGGTACACAGAAATCAAACCTGTACAAATAAGTTGAACATGTGAATTGATAAAATGAAGACTTTTGCCCATTAACATGGACATGTACTTGCTAATAACAAATTTCTAACCTTACTTTGTTGTTGTTTAAAATGAATTTAAAGTAAAAACAATTTTTAAGTATGCACTTTGTTTTCTTCTAGTCAGATTCACAACCATTTTTCTTAACTCTTAAACTCCAACGAGTGACCAAGATAGAATTTCTCCTTACAATATCAATACAATATCAAGCAGACAAGTGATGAGAGCAAGTACTGAGAAGAATTAGAATCAACTAGGGAATTATAAATTGTTCCAATAACAAATTCTCCAAACTAAAATCATAAGGAGTGTATAACAGATAGTAGGGAGAATTGCTGATGAGATCTGGAAGGGAAAGGATTAACGATCAACTGAATTAGAAAGATCAAGATCGAACAGAATTGAAACGTTCTGACTGTGTTGTATGTTAATCTCAGTTAGTAATGGTTTTTATTTGAAGGATTACCCTAACTCTGATTATAACTTGTTCTCATGTTGTCAAAATATTGCTCGATCTAATTGACGACAGTTCTATTCAGGACTACTCTCACCTGAATAAAAAGACTACACAGTCAATTATTACCCCTAGGTTAACACCATTTGCTGAGTGTATTAACTCTTTCACTCCTGAGATCTGATGGTTAATTCTCCCCTCTAGCTGTTTCACATTTCCTCATAAATAAGTTACAAGAATTTGGTTTAAGATCAAGATAACAATTTCTACCTGATGAGTTTGAATATTCTCATGACCTGTTTGTTGGATAATGTTTAGATATTAAGTTACATGTTAGTCACTTCTAGCAGTTAAAGGGCTAGAAAAACAATAATATTGATAGTAAAAGTTACAAACCTGGCATACTCGTAGGGAATCACTGATTCTACAGAATCCAGACGATTCACAAACAAATCAATTTTGGACTAGAGAAATAACAACAACAAAAAAAACATGTATTTAGAACAAATTCACCAAAACTGAGCATTGAGGTCAAGTTTGATTTTCAATCCTCTTTATTTCCAACAACGGTAATGCATATGTTAGACACCTTGGTGAAAAATCCCATGATTCTGAAAAAATTTACACCCAGGGTATAGGTCAAATATTTCTTGCCATCCATATTATAAGGGTGATACTAATCTAACAATAAATTGCAGGAATCACTAGATTGAAGATTTGAAGAGACTTCATGTAAAATTTAAATACAACAAAAAAACCATTAGATTTGTTTGTTTACCCTTGGGCAAAACTTTCACGTAACTTTTCAATTAACAGCTTTAATGTAAATTTATTCAAACATCTCATTCTTAGCGTATCTTGCTGGTTGTCAGGGAAATACGGTTTTATTCTTGCATGAAATGTAAAATTGATGACACAGATGTTCACGCTTTGCACTTACACTGAAAGGGATCGAAAAAACAAAAAATAATCTTACTCGTGGCGAAGTAGATGTCAAAATGTCTAAAAATAGCCATTTCTTTCGTTAACTCGATACGGCTAAATTATATAATGTGATCGGTAATGACCACGAGTTTTCACACGCGTACTACTGCGAAATATCTAAAAGCGAACAACCTAACAAAGTTGATGACAATTTCTGTTTAAGGAAAACATCAGAACTTGTTGATGGTAAAATTCTATAGCTAGATGCTTCATCGAATCGATGTTGATATACAAGTGAATAAAGACATAAATATACAAGACAAAATAAAAGCAGAGGTTCAATACATAACTAAAAGCAAGTGTGATAGCAATAAATTAAACAACCATTACCTAATAACATTAAGTTTGCCTCGCTATCTAGGAATATGCGCAAAGCCTTAACATTTCAGTAACGGTGTTGAAAGAAGTCGAAGCGAAATTGATCACCGTTGACCACCATCAGCAACGAACAAACAAAATTCTAACTACCTTGGCTCAAAATTCGTTGATTTAATCTATATCAGATTCTTCAAAGTGTTCTGAGCGTTACATAAGACAGCGGAATTGCAAAATATATAAAGTTAACTCCTCCGAATCTTACCAAACAAACAGGATTTGTTGATTTTTCCGTCTCGCAATACGAAATCGGCGCCAGACCGGGTAGATAAAATGCCGCAGGACAAGAAATCCATACACATAAAACCAACCAAATCCACCTGAGTGAACTGTAGTGCTCCATGTGCTTCGAAAAGACTATTCTGTACCTCCAAATACACAAAATCCCGTTAAAAAAGCGTCAGTCCACGGATACACTCCTCCAAGCCGCTACACTTCTTGTACAGTGTGTGCAAAATTTAGAAAGCGGCCTTTATGCGCAGTAAAGAAAATCAAATATCTGCGCATGTGAATGGCCACGTCACAAAATCCTAAAATGGCGCCTCAGACAATGCTAGTTCCAAGCCTCGTCGGCGCTTCCCAGCACTTTTTCACTGATTCTCGCAAATTTCTCCAATGTGCAAACTTCTTTACATGTGCTCGAAAAGTCATTCGTTCTTATTTAATTACATCATTTGAAGTTGCCACAAACTCATTTAATTTTACTTTGTTTTCAAGCCTTCACCTACTCAATCGGGAAAAAAAACAGCATTTTTTTTCAGAACTATAGTTAACAAAACAAAGATGACAATTTTCCTATAATGTCTACCATCTTGACGTCAGCACTCCGATAAATGAGGGGAAACAACCAATCGCAAAACACGTAATCACTCGGTCAATTAGCTGTATTACCCAACTTTTTATTACAGGAGCCGAATTTCTTGATTGTTATTCCTGTCAGGAGCACATTTCCTGTGTTCCTGTTCCTGTCAGTTTTCGAACCATAATAGGATTAAGAGTCTAAAAGTTAGCCTACTTGAAGCCTTCTTCTTTATCATAAGTATTATCTTACACAACGTATAAAATTAGCTTTGCAAATATCCAACACTTACGATAAATCGTTTTACCCGGAAATCCTTCAGGCGCAATGTAGCCCCGGGGAGAAAAAAAAATTAGGCACGCATCTGCGTACAAATTTTCTTATGTGTCATGTTTACAAAAATGAAACCGTTATTGATTTATACAGATGAAGACACACTCGTTCTAGTGGGTCGAGGACTGCATTACGCCTGGATTCAATCACCTGGCGCAATATTTAAAATTAACACTAAAGCACCAATCATCTTCAGTCCAAAATGGTCTTCAAATAAAGACAGTTAATTACTTTAAGACTTAAGACGAACGGCGACTGGAAGATGGATAAAACAACTTCTGACTCGCTTGGACATCAACCATTTAATTTAAAAGCCCTCGAATAGCGTTTTACTCCAAACAGCACAGACTTAAGATCTGTAGCAAGCTCTACATAGAATAACTCTAAACCTCTTGCTATCGTCCGCATCTCAATAAAGCCTCTACTTAATTAAGCTTCCCATGCATTGCTAAATCGATAATCCCTCCCTTCGCCTTCGACGAAGAATTTTTCATTAAATTTTGAAAATTAAATGGTTTAATGCTTCGGTTGACATGATAACATTTCGTTTATTTAGGCGTGTTCCATCGTCCGCCTTACTATTTACTTTCGGATTTATTGTTTGTTTGTTTGCCTTTTTATTTTTGTTTTCTTTCAACTCTTTATGACACTGATGTTGTTTTTAAGGTTTTCTGGTGTAGTGTCTGAACTATAAGTATACTTATATGCTCTGTTAATTATCATACAATACTCAAAAGTCTCCGTCTTTTTTTCTCTTCTCCACCTGGCATAAAAAAAGTGTTATTTCTGTCCTTCGATAACCCTTGTGATATAACAGAGTCTTGTGAACTCTATTTCTGGTCAATGCATTAACAGGCTCCTAACACAGACCAAGGAATGACATTTCATGGGAGCTGCGTAGACATGATATATATTAATATACATCTATATATATATATCCCTAGTTACCTCTACTCGCTCTTTGGCCAAATTTAACACGAGACTTTGGTCATACTTTCCTCCGGGTGCGAAGGAAATGAGTTAGAATTTCGTCGCCAACGAAATATGTTACGCAGCGTATCCATGATTGCCTGACGAATGCATCTCATCTTCCAGCAGTAAATAACAGGGTTCAAAAATGAGTTGAAAAATAACAGCGTCAAGGAGTATACGGCAAAACTTTTAGAGGTGGTATTGAAACCGCTGAGTTTTTTGGTGAAGAAGTAAACTCCTCGAGGTACATAACAAATCAGTAATAACAGATAGACATAAAATAAACCAGTAGCGGATTTCTTAGCGCTCGACAGACTCATTTTGTTATTATTGCGCGTTGTTGTTTGTTGAAGGGTCTGAATTTGGTTCCTATGCCTTCGTATAACTGCATAAATCTTGATATAGACTACGGTTGTTATTAGAAGACATAGAATCCCAATACTGACAAACAGCAGCGAAGACACCGCACTGCTACGCCAAATACTAGCTGATGATGTTAACGCGCAAAAAAACCATATTGAAATTACCACTGCAATAACACGCTTATCAGAGACCAGTTCCTCATATCGAAGATGGAGATAAATCGCCAAGAATCTCTCAACGCTTATGGCAACGACACCACAGAAAGAAGCCAATAGAAACAGATTAGTGAGGTTTAGAAACGCCAGGTATGTTACGCAGGAAGGGTTATTGAACTGCGACCACTTGACCAAGATAGAGATATAAAATGGCTCAACCAAAAGCCCAACGCATGTATCTGAAAAAGCCAGGCTGAGAAGCAGTGTTTTTAAAGGTTTTGACAATAAGGAGATTTTTCGAATCGCAAGTATAGTTACAATGTTAAACATGACTGTTGTGTAACTCAGAACACCAATGAACACGCAGTTGACAATGTAGGTGACATAAAGCTCTTCAACTTCGGAACTTGTGGGAAAAACCTCTGTCGATTTTTGGCACGGCGATTTCATGATCATGTCAAGTTTGCCCAGTTCAAGAAATAATAGCCACTTCCTACTTTTTGCGACGGAATCACTGGTTAACCTGTCCAAATTATTTGAACAACACTCCAAATTTAATCTTCCAAAAAAGTTTTCAAAAAAGCTGCAAAACGTTTCGGTGCAACCAACGATCTGAAGTTCCTCTGTACTCGCGTTCAAACTCTTAACCAGGTTTATGACTTCGACTGAACGGAACTGAAATCTTTCGATAAAAAATTTGAATAAGAGAATCACAAATTATACTTGTTACTTTCGTAACGTCAAAGGGAACCTCAATTTGTTTGCCACCTCGATTATTGAACAATGCAGGCCACCCGCTCCAGTGACGTCTTAAGGAAATTATATTAACGCGTACGTTAACGTTAGAGACTAATATCGGAAGGGAATATCAATTTTCAGCGGATATTTCATCAGAAAAAGATTGGCCAGAGTCGAGAAACGGTTAACCAGGGATCTGAGAGGTCAAGATCTACCGATGTATTTGATCTTATGTGCGAGACTAAAACGAAATAAAATTCCAGTGTCTTTTTCAATTGGCACTTGCAAGAGAAATCAATCTAAAACAATCTATTTCTCCCGACAAGATATTATTTTAATGAGCTTACGTCAAGCTAGCACGTGATTGGATGTCCATAACGGGCGACATTTGAGTTTCATCTTCCTGCTGCAAACAAGGGAGATTGTGAAAGATTGTGTTCAGAAAAAAATACTTGTGTAAAGAAAATGTCAAACGAAAGCGTGTTTAAAAAGTAGGGTTACTGCGTTGTTTTCACAATGTTGGCGTCTACAGTCAAATTGTAAGCGCATTTGAAGACAGTCTGCGAAGATTAAATAAGTTGATTAAAAAACGCTCATTCTCTAACGTATCATGAGTAAATCGCTATGGAATAGAATGGTTCGCAAAACACAACAGCTGTTAACCAAGTATCTATTTTAAATTCGTGATAAATTAAGGAACCATTTAATGAAAAGTGCTTTTCAAAAATAAATGACCACTGATGGTAATGGTACCAGAGACGGTTGAATGAAGTTTTCCTAAAGCCGGAGAAACACTTGCTATTTTATTCACTGATCTACCTTCGAATTAATGTCCACGAAATGTAATATTAAAGAGTACTCTTGATTCGCTGAGCTGCACCGCGTCATTGATAGGAGGAACTGTTTTAAATTTAGGTACTATAGTTAAGAGTATTTTGAGAATTGATCTAACGAAAAGCAGATGTAATTTTTTTTATTTTAAATTTAAATACATTACTTATATGTTCGCTAAGGAAAAAAAAACGAAAAATGTATTTCAAATATCTGTTGATTTTGATTGAGATAGGTAAGATTTATTTTATTTTACTTTTTTCTATCTGTATTTTAATTCAAACGACACTGATTACAGGAAAAATTTTTGCGTGCGCCGTGCAAAGTTGTTAGTTTTACTCAGTAAGTCCGCTTGCGATCGTATTTCATATTACGTTTCTTGGCAGTAATTCAGCAGTATTTTTTCAGCATCGCAACAAATGTAAGTTTTGGTATCATGTAGACTTCATTGTTATTTTCGTTGTAATTTTCCTAAGTGTATTTAGTTTTAGCGTAGTTAGTTTCATTCAAATTGTAAAAGGTTTCGCTCGTTACTTTGTTTATATCATTAAGTCGGGTTTAAAACTGTCTGCATTTACTGCTGAAAGTCGCCCGTGGCAGCCACATAAAATATAACAATAAAGAATTAAAGGCTGATATTGAGAAATGTAAAAATTTGGTGATAAAAAGACCAAGGAGATGGATATAACTCATTCAATTCAATGCTCCTGTTTTAGAGAGCATACAATATCAGGAAAAATCTATTGGGTTTTGAGATTCAAAACAATAATCTATTCTGCTTCATCATGAAAACTGTCTTCAAACGTGTTTACAGTTAAACCGTGGACGCCACTAGTTTGGGAGCAACGCGGAAAACTTATTGAAAGCACTTGGTTTTGAGCGCGCTTGGTTTTGCAGAAGTTTCAAGTTTTCTTCAATGAACTTACTTTTTCTGAACTCAGTCTTTCAACGCTGTTCTGAAGTGGAGGAAAACCAAAGAAGAGGTTTCTCTGAGGGATGGGAAATATATTTCGACTGAAAGAAGAACGAGGTAGTTTTATCGCAATCTTTGTGGATGAAAATGTTGGGGACAATATACAGAGAACTCTTTTACGCGTAGCCGCACCAATACAAGTCATTCATGATTGAGTAAACCTTCTTTTAATGTAAACATTTTTTACCATTTGACATTGCGTGTTATTTTGACTTGATCTTCGTACACCTACGTTAAAAACTGAAAACGAGAACCTAAATTAACAACTCATTGGGCGAAAGCGAAACTGCAAAACGAGGCACATGTACTTACATATTTCTATGCGATAAACGGGTAGGAAAAGCACAAAACTTCAACAATCAAAATGAACACAGCACCCAAGGTCCTGACACAAAATTACTCTCGCACTAAAACATGTGCTACTGATCATGTGACCTAATATAAGTCCGCAATTCGTGCTTGGCCGCTAGTCGGCCCAAACAGAAAATCATTAAACAAAAGTGTTAAAGTAAGTTAAAAAAAAAAACGCACAACCATCTACCTATCATGATTAAATAGAATTTTCAGAAAAGCTCCTCCAAATTATGTCTTATTACACGTCAACAATATTTGGAGAAATCGTCAAGAGTCATTTCAGAGATAAATGGAACTCACTTCGATTTACTATCCAAAAAATGTTTGGTAAAAAATACTCTTAATTTGAGTGGCTAAACTGCTTTTTATCGATACGCTGAATTAGTTTCAAATTTGGCGCGATAGCTAAGTGCATAATGAAAATTTGTCGTACGGAAAGCGAATAGATATAATCTATATGACTTGATTTAGAGCTCTTCATGTAAACAGAGTAATGGCGTGGCTGACAGAAAAAAATTAATTAATTTCTCTCAGTAATGAGGCCTCAATTCATTAATCACTCAGCAGTGAGGCCTTACCTTAAAGTCGAAATATATCGAGAGCCTTCTGAGACGGTTCCAGATTTTTCAACGGGATTTTCCCTTGGCATTAGCATAATATATGGATTTAGCCAATCTTAAAGGCGGAGCTCCACTTTGCTCCTAGGTTTCTTCGCACAGCCAGGTTACGCATGCAATAGCGCATGCTCATTTCCTTTTCTCTTTCCCTTCCACTTACGTTGTGACTAGCTTTGTACCCGTAATACAGTTGTTTCTGCATGTTTACTATGGCAACGTTTACAAAAGAATGTTCGGTCACGTGACAGACTAAATGTTCTCGGTTTTATGGGTTACTATTCCATTATCATATTTTACATGTATGTATAGGGCTCCGCTGATCGCGCGCTGCTACCTCCGTCATGAGTACAGCGATTGCCATGCCGCGCCCATTATTTCAAACTTCAATCTTTAGTTCGACTGCAAAAGGTCAAGGTCAAGGCTCAGGAAAACTGTATCCAACCACCTTAAACGGTTGCCTACGAGCGCTGGGAATTTAGGGGCAAAACAACGAAGATAAAAATCGCGTAAACTAATAACTCGGAAATGGCGGCTAACAAATAGACTGACATACTTAAGTCGTCCCAACAGAGCTTTTCAGAATAAAAGTACGTTGTACAAATAGGATGTATATATATATATATATATATATATTATGAGAGGAAAAAAGGACGCAACTACATTTCCCGACAAGCCTGTTTCGTGAATCGCTTCACTCTTCAGGGGTTTAATATGTATATATATATATGTATATATATATATATATATACAAATATGTATATATATATATATAATTAACTGCAGACAGTACTGTTTCGGCCTTCTGGGCCTCATCAGTGCAGTGCTGATGTTAAGATGGAGGTAAGGCCCCGCTATGTCGGGACATAGCGGGGCATTTGACAAGCGCTCACTTCTAAAGTTGCAAAATGCCCCGCACCCCAAGGTCAGGTTTTTCCTCTAATCGAAGCTAACGACCCCGCTCACATCCCCCGCTCTTGTTCAGTGGAAGACACAGGCTAATCTAAATAGTTTAAACTTAATTTGTCAAGTAACACACGTCACCGCATACAATGCTTTTCAAATGGTATAAAATGTTTGTGGTGTCTTTATAGTCCATAGTTAACCGCCATCTTGCCGGACTAGTACGGCCTACCGATTCTTGACCCAGTCCACCTCGGTGGAAAATACCCCGGTTCACTCCCCCGCTGCTCTTGGATGACGCGCAAAAGAGGTCAAAGTCACCGATACCCGCGGCCCTTTCGCTCGTCAAATAACGGAAAATTCCCCGCAAATGCCCCGCTATGTCCCGGCCGGGGGATGCGGGGGTTTACATTGACTGGTGTATTAGTGTATCACGTCATATTAACTAACCTCCGTAAGTCATTCATTTCAGATAATAAAATCAAATAAACATGCTTATGATGGTATCTGAATTCGTCCTTGGCCAAACACAAAAGACTCCACAAGATCACTCTCTCCGGGCGTCGAAAACATACACAAAATCGTCCATAGTTAATTTTAATCAGACATTCATCTAGAGATAGCACCAGGCAAACCAATCCAGAAAAATATAATCGGCACACTCAACAAATTATGAATCTTGCAACACAGCTTGCCGTTAAAGAACTGCTCAAATTAAAATGTTTTCTGCAATTCAACAACACCTCAAGCAATACGTGATTCAAAATTTTTCCATTCACTCTCGTCGTGAAGGAACAATAACCATGATCGTGCTAAAGTGCACAGAACTCCATTTTCTCTCGAACAACTATCCACACGGTTACCATGGGTAATCTGATATCTTTCATCTGTCCAGTAGTATCCCATTTCTTATGAAGCGTGGTAAAACACACGTTAAAAAGACAGGAAAGCCAAAAATTCTCATTCTGAAAGATGATCCCATTTCACGAACCGCTTTCTCTGTACGCTAACATAAATAATATTTTTTTTTAATTAAAAAAAAAAAAACTAAAAAATAACTAACATCATTATATCTCTCAGTTATTGCGTGGGCTATGATTGGTCAATTTGTGGTTAAAACCACCTTGAAGAATATAATGAACTGAAACACATAAAAATACTTCTCCTTGGCTTTCATTTGAAAGATCAAACGCTAGGGTGTGTTTTTGTTCCCATTTTATAATTATGCGCTGAAGTTTTGGAGTTCTGCTTTTTTCAATACAACCTGAATTAAAGATTCTCTATTTGCAACATTGGACAAACTTTAACCAGCAGATTATTTAGAGAGAAAATTAATGATAGTCATTTTGTTTATTCATCAGTTAAGAGGCTACTGGCTTTAATTTGCTTCCGAGTAGCTGACAGATGGAGCAAAACTCTTGACCAATCACTTTAAGATGTAAAGCGAAATTATTACGATCCATGACACCGCTCATTTGCAGACTTCTTTTCACTTCTGGACGAAATAAATTTATAGTCCTGTCATTTGCCTATTCGTTGTTTTTTTCATTCTTTCTTTACTTACTGACTCTAACAGGCTAAAGTCTTTCACATTCAAACATAATATCGCATTTTCACTTCTAATTTACATGTATTAATGTTACAAAAATACCAGCCCTCATTTTTAATTTACATCTGCCGTCAACATAAACAATAGTCAAACTTCCTGTATTCTTTTCGTTTAAGTGCTTTATGCAGAAGTAATGTTTGATAAAATGTCTTATCTGTATTTCCTTCGGTCGAAATATGTAAAAATATTGTGTCTCTGAAGATGTCTTCCGTGTATTCAAACGAATTTATTAATAGGGAAACATACTTCAAGCGCTCTTTAATTTTACTGACTATAATGTTTCGTTTATTCATTTTGATAGCTGAAAATATTTTAAGGACAGCTTTCCTTTACATTACCTTTTTTTAAGCATAAATCCCATGTTTAGTTGGAATGTCTTGAAGTTTTAAACAGATAATTTGTTTTAGTTCTAACTAACGCCGAGTTAAAGTGATACTCGATGCTTTTTTCAAAAATTTAAATGCCATAGTTGAAGCTGGGGGCATCTTGACTGTACGTACAGATGGCTTTGATTGTGTTATATGCTTGTGATTGACAGCTACATATGACTTAAAATTTCCCGTTTTAAAATCGGAAAATATCAGAGCCACAGTAGTTTTAACGCTCAGCTCTCATGGCTGAAAACGTTTGCGACTTTTTCACCGAATATTTTATCGGGACCTCTCCGGATGTTGAAGATTTTCGTCCGGCACTTGTCGCTAATTGTGTCTTCAACGGCTGTTTGTCTTGTACAACCATCATTTTGAACATCGTTACCATCCATGCGATAAGGAAAACCACGTTGTTGCCAAAACCTTTGAGAACATTATTACTGAGCCTGGCTGTCTCCGATGTTGGTGTTGGTTTATTAGTCCAGCCTTTCTACATTTCTACTATGGTCACCTGGTTAAAACAAAAACGTATCGACTGCATTTACTACAAGAGATTGATGGCTGTTATGAAATTCTTTTGTGTATCCTCGGTCTGTAATGTTGTAACCATAAGTTTGGACAGGTTCTTAGCGGTTCATCTTCACCTCAGATATCAAGAGCTTGTGACTCACAAGCGCGTCATTGCAGCGGTGATATCAATATGGCTGTTTAGCGCAGTCATTTCTTCTAGTGTCTTTTGGGATCCATTGCTTATTAGCTCCCTAGTCATTGGGTTCGTGATTATGACTGTTTCCCCCATTGTAGTATTAATTGCGTACTGGAGGATTTATAGAGTCTTAAAGCGACACGAAATCCAGATTGAAGGCCTTCAAATCCAAGAACTACAACAGGGAGTTCAAAATGGCGACTTATCAAACTTTTTGCGGAAGCTTAGAAAGTCAGTTCTGGGAACATTTCTTGTATGCATTGTGTTCTTACTTTGTTATTTGCCTTGCTTTATTCTCTCCGTTTTACTCATAGCTCGCCTTTTAAGTGCAAGCTGTTTTTACGTAGCTCGACTCTATGAAATGACTTTGTTTTTCCTACACTCGTCTTTGAACCCTGTTATGTATTGTTGGAAGATGAGACCCATTCGTCGCACTCTCATGGACATTATGCGAAGTATCGTCAATCGGTTCAGAAAATAGCATTTGTTTGGGTTCGTTTCCGATACCAATTCACAATGCATGGGATAAGAGCCTCGGCTATGATTAAAATCAAACTTGATTTGTCAAAAGTACTTAGGAAAACTGAGGGAGGACGAACTTTAAATAACGATTAGGAAAGTTACACTATGGATTACTACAGAGTCAAGCATTAGAAAGAATCAGTTGCTAGTTTTAAGCGCATTTTGTATGAGAAATTTATAAATAACCAGAAAGCTTCCTCGCTACTTGAAATATCATTTTAAGGTTGATGTATGTATTTGTACCTGTCGATAGGACTGTAAATTTATAACCTTGTTAAGTGTATAGCTTGTGAATTAAATACAAAACCGATTTTTAAGTCGCTTTATTTAACAAATAGAGAAGCCTTGACTGTGCTCTATTCTGTTATAAAGCACGCAGGAAGCGGCTAGAGCACGAAAGAAGTGTAGGGAGAAACACGAGACGTAGTCCCCACTTCTTGAGTGCTCTAGCCGCTTCCTAAGTGCTTTATAACAGAACAGAGCACAGTCAAGGCTTCTCTATTTGTTTTATAATAAAAAATCCGTCAAATTCCCGAAGCATTGCTTTCAATTTTCAAAACAAACTTTATTTCCAAAGCGAACAACAATGTCGTCAACATGCTCTATACTCTCATAGAGCACGCCACAATAAGCCAATCAGAATCCCTGTTAGAATGGTTCAAATAATCTGATTGGCTCTACAAGACAAAAGTTGTCAAACGTGTCAAACCATCAAAGTTCAAAAACCATCAAAGTTCACAATCTGCGATAGTTTACAAACTAAAACAGGTAATTTAGTGTTAACAACTGGGTTGAAAACGTAAATTAGCCACCGTAAAGGGTAAAAAAGCTGACGTTTCGAGCGTTAGCCCTTCGGTGGCTAATTTACGTTTTCAACCCAGTTGTTAACACTAAATTACCTGCTATACTCTCCCACCGACGCAGCACCACAGTTTCTTTAGAAACTTACCCCTTTACAAACTAAAACAGTTCGGCAGGTCGATTTTAACGCTTTTGCCTGAAGTTTTTAATACAGAATCTTCAAGTGAAATGTTCAGTGAACTTCAGCCGAATTATGGCTCATAAAAAACACGCGAGTTTTTTCACATGACAAGGTAGAAAACAAACTGTTCAAGGCGAGTGTTTTTTAAATGAACGACAGCCGAATTCACCGGAACATGAAGATCGCTCGGGATGACAGCGCCGCAAAACTCGGCTGCAGTGACTGAAGTGACTTTCTACTCAACGCATCGGAAAGGGGAGAGCGAGCTCTTATTTTTTTCACTCGAAGGCCGGCCGATGTAGTTTCTGAGGCTTGCTTTACTGTAATGACCGGAGATCGCCATGCTAAGCGAGCCGCGATGGACTTCAGCATGATCATATTTGCTCAGACGCCGTCATGATTAGTATGAATTTTAACAGATACGTCAGTTTGATTATATTTTTCATAATTTCTGTTTTGTTCTGTTTTGTTTTTGAACTCTGAACTTTATATACTATACGAGTGTTAGCTGTGTTTGATTTTTATTACTGTTCGTAAGCTTGCAATCTAACTGAGCGTGAAAATCTTTAAAACTCGGAATGTCTATTTTGTTTTTCCTTTGAGGATTTTCGTATCTGCTCACGTTTTAATAATGTAAATTACGGCGCCTGATATGTTTACAACCTTTGTCTGGTTCTTCTGTTGCTACTTGCCGGCTCGCTTGTTCCGAAATTTCACTTTCAATTATCGGAAAAAAGCTAAAAAGAAGTCCCGGAAAAGGTCGAACATAGTACAATTTGGCAGATGGCGTGACAGCTTTGGCTCAGCTCTATGCTCTATACTCTCATAGAATTTAAAGAGACAGAATTTAAACGCTACTGTCCTAATGTCCTCTTCCACTTGGATGATAGGACTAAGGAATTCCATAGTTTGACTTTCTTACAATAAATTGTTCTTTTCCCTGTGATGGATCTGTACAGGGGGATCTGAGGAATCTGGGCATTCCTTATCGATCCACTAGTGACAACTGACTTTAGTGAGAATTTCCAAAAGTACATTAACCTTACGCATCGCTAATTTTTTCTTATAATGGCAGAGAGAACTAAAGTGGGTCTGAGCGCGTGATTCGCAATCCGGATGTCTGTGGTCTGACTTTACCCAGCCTCCTCCTAGGAGCGAGTTTAGAGTCGGACAACCATCATGTCTAGTCGACTTAATATTATTCTTTATATCAGAAACCGCACAACTGAATTCTAAAAGTCTGTGTGATCGTAAGTAAGTAAAGGCTTTATTCAAAGAGGGTTAAATTCAGCTGTAGTAAAAACACTGATGAACTCGTGGCCTTTATTACACTTTATAATAAAGTTCGGATATAACGCGCGCTGTCATTGGTTGAAAGAGCGTGCTCTATGAGAGTATAGAGCATAGAGCTGAGCCAAAGCTGTCACGCCATCTGCCAAATTGTACTATGTTCGACCTTTTCCGGGACTTCTTTTTAGCTTTTTTCCGATAATTGAAAGTGAAATTTCGGAACAAGCGAGCCGGCAAGTAGCAACAGAAGAACCAGACAAAGGTTGTAAACATATCAGGCGCCGTAATTTACATTATTAAAACGTGAGCAGATACGAAAATCCTCAAAGGAAAAACAAAATAGACATTCCGAGTTTTAAAGATTTTCACGCTCAGTTAGATTGAAAGCTTACGAACAGTAATAAAAATCAAACACAGCTAACACTCGTATAGTATATAAAGTTCAGAGTTCAAAAACAAAACAGAACAAAACAGAAATTATGAAAAATATAATCAAACTGACGTATCTGTTAAAATTCATACTAATCATGACGGCGTCTGAGCAAATATGATCATGCTGAAGTCCATCGCGGCTCGCTTAGCATGGCGATCTCCGGTCATTACAGTAAAGCAAGTCTCAGAAACTACATCGGCCGGCCTTCGAGTGAAAAAATAAGAGCTCGCTCTGATATCCTTTCCGATGCGTTGAGTAGAAAGTCACTTCAGTCACTGCAGCCGAGTTTTGCGGCGCTGTCATCCCGAGCGATCTTCATGTTCCGGTGAATTCGGCTGTCGTTCATTTAAAAAACACTCGCCTTGAACAGTTTGTTTTCTACCTTGTCATGTGAAAAAACTCGCGTGTTTTTTATGAGCCATAATTCGGCTGAAGTTCACTGAACATTTCACTTGAAGATTCTGTATTAAAAACTTCAGGCAAAAGCGTTAAAATCGACCTGCCGAACTGTTTTAGTTTGTAAAGGGGTAAGTTTCTAAAGAAACTGTGGTGCTGCGTCGGTGGGAGAGTATAGCAGGTAATTTAGTGTTAACAACTGGGTTGAAAACGTAAATTAGCCACCGAAGGGCTAACGCTCGAAACGTCAGCTTTTTTACCCTTTACGGTGGCTAATTTACGTTTTCAACCCAGTTGTTAACACTAAATTACCTGCTATACTCTCCCACCGACGCAGCACCACAGTTTCTTTAGAAACTTACCCCTTTACAAACTAAAACAGTTCGGCAGGTCGATTTTAACGCTTTTGCCTGAAGTTTTTAATACAGAATCTTCAAGTGAAATGTTCAGTGAACTTCAGCCGAATTATGGCTCATAAAAAACACGCGAGTTTTTTCACATGACAAGGTAGAAAACAAACTGTTCAAGGCGAGTGTTTTTTAAATGAACGACAGCCGAATTCACCGGAACATGAAGATCGCTCGGGATGACAGCGCCGCAAAACTCGGCTGCAGTGACTGAAGTGACTTTCTACTCAACGCATCGGAAAGGATATCAGAGCGAGCTCTTATTTTTTCACTCGAAGGCCGGCCGATGTAGTTTCTGAGACTTGCTTTACTGTAATGACCGGAGATCGCCATGCTAAGCGAGCCGCGATGGACTTCAGCATGATCATATTTGCTCAGACGCCGTCATGATTAGTATGAATTTTAACAGATACGTCAGTTTGATTATATTTTTCATAATTTCTGTTTTGTTCTGTTTTGTTTTTGAACTCTGAACTTTATATACTATACGAGTGTTAGCTGTGTTTGATTTTTATTACTGTTCGTAAGCTTTCAATCTAACTGAGCGTGAAAATCTTTAAAACTCGGAATGTCTATTTTGTTTTTCCTTTGAGGATTTTCGTATCTGCTCACGTTTTAATAATGTAAATTACGGCGCCTGATATGTTTACAACCTTTGTCTGGTTCTTCTGTTGCTACTTGCCGGCTCGCTTGTTCCGAAATTTCACTTTCAATTATCGGAAAAAAGCTAAAAAGAAGTCCCGGAAAAGGTCGAACATAGTACAATTTGGCAGATGGCGTGACAGCTTTGGCTCAGCTCTATGCTCTATACTCTCATAGAGCACGCTCTTTCAACCAATGACAGCGCGCGTTATATCCGAACTTTATTATAAAGTGTAATAAAGGCCACGAGTTCATCAGTGTTTTTACTACAGCTGAATTTAACCCTCTTTGAATAAAGCCTTTACTTACTTACGATCACACAGACTTTTAGAATTCAGTTGTGCGGTTTCTGATATAAAGAATAATATTAAGTCGACTTGACATGATGGTTGTCCGACTCCAAACTCGCTCCTAGGAGGAGGCTGGGTAAAGTCAGACCACAGACATCCGGATTGCGAATCACGCGCTCAGACCCACTTTAGTTCTCTCTGCCATTATAAGAAAAAATTAGCGATGCGTAGGGTTAATGTACTTTTGGAAATTCTCACTAAAGTCAGTTGTCACTAGTGGATCGACAAGGAATGCCCAGATTCCTCAGATCCCTCTGTACAGATCCATCACAGGGAAAAGAACAATTTATTGTAAGAAAGTCAAACTATGGAATTCCTTAGTCCTATCATCCAAGTGGAAGAGGACATTAGGACAGTAGCGTTTAAATTCTGTCTCTTTAAATTCTATGAGAGTATAGAGCATAGAGCTGAGCCAAAGCTGTCACGCCATCTGCCAAATTGTACTATGTTCGACCTTTT